TGAAGACTTACGTTAACAAAGTTTATGTTCGTTTTTCTCAGGGGCGTCGGTGGCCGCAACGGTTTAGGCGTTCACACGGCGCTCATCACTGTAATGTAAAGGTCCCGGGTTCGAATCCAGCGGCCCTGCATTTGAACCCGACATACTTACAAATGGGCTTTTTTGCAAAAACACCGTTACCCCGAGGGTTTATATGACCTCTGCTGTTGCGAACCCTCGTAAAAAAATATTAAAAAAATACTGGTTTAACCTTAAAAATTATTACAATTAATTAAGGTTTTTTGTTGAGATAAAAAGTCAACGGCACGAGCGGGATTCGAACCCACGATCTTCGGCTAGATACGCCGCTGCTCTACCACTCGAGCTATCGTGACCTCGATCCACTCGGACACCAACTTCCCATCTCAACCGCACCTTTTGAATTTTCCTTCTTTTTTTTATCTCAACTAAAAACCTTAATTAATTGTAATATATTAATTGGTCAAGCGGACCACGAAATTAGTGAATTTAATGATTAAAAATGAAGTATACTTCACTAAAGCTCTCCGTGGCCATTTCATTTGTCGTCGAGAATCCAACCCGATTACACGACATTTGAAAATGGCAAAAAGGAGGGAAAATTCACAAGGTGGGGTTGAGATGGGAAGTTTGTAGCCGAGTGGATCGAGGTCACGATAGCTCAAGTGGTAAAGCAGCGGCGTATCAAGCCGAAGATCGTGGGTTCGAATCCCGCTCGTGCCAATGACTTTTTTTATCTCAACTACAAACCTTAATTAATTGTAATATATTAATTGGTCAAGCGGACCACGAAATTAGTGAACTTAAAAATTATAACAAAATTTAGTTTTGTTAATGTTGTTTAAAGTAGTTTTTTTTCATATTACACGCTTCTTCTGTATTATGTTTGTTTTTCATTATGCTTTTGTAAAGATATATTCTGTTTATTCCTCTGAGGATCTCCAAAAACTCCTGCTGTCTAGTACAAGGTAGCAGGCAAGGATGTACCAAAATTTTATTTTTGTTGTGAATATAATGTAATGTACATTCTTGCAAATAAAGATTTATTATTATTATTCAATTTTTATGGTAGAATTTCATCAATGGAGTTGTTTCAAAAAACCTTTCAATTTTCTTGATCTCTGGAATTGTTTTCATCAAGCCTATTTTAAGAATGCATGTCATTTTGCCAGGAAAAACCTTATAAATTAGCAAATGTGCTCAAACGTTCTGCCGCTAGCGTATTTTTGACTCTCCAGTATGCAATAGAGGTTGAGAGTGAGGACGAATTTTCGAACGAGGCAGCTGCTCCATTTTGTCGGGAAGAGGATGAAAAAATGAGTCATCCACACAGGTCCCAGGTTCCAGATTCATTATTGCCCACTTCCTCCCGTTTGCATCCTTTGCTGGCCACTCCCACGAGAATGTGGATGAGAGGCGATTCTAATCAACACAAATTATTCAAAATTCTCGAAAAAGAGTAAAAAGTCTGGCAGACTGCTATATAACAATGAGAAAAGTTTGGAATGTGCTCCCATAGGTACGATTCCAGATTAGATGTTTTGTCATGAAGACCGATGTCAGTTCTTTTCTATTTGTTGAACCTTTTTATTTCTAGGGAAATCGTGTTATCCGTTCGCTTGTTGTATTTCTTTGTCATCGATTTTTTATCAAATTATTTTCCCTGGTTGTAACTGTTAATGCATAAATCATAAAATCGTTCACCTCATTGCGAAATTTTTTAAAATAAATGTGCTTCACCGCTTTTGTTGAATGTAAAGTAGTCCAAACACAACCGGTCGCAGCTCATCTCGGAGCAACCGCTGTGCACCGGGCTACTGAGAACCCTGACTTCGCTCTATTTAAATAACGAATAAATTTTACGCCTCTTGCTAAACATTTTCTATTAGGGCGAGCTAAACCCAGACTTAAACATTGTGGAAGACTTCAATGCCGGGTATGAAAGTGTGTGGACACATCGAAAATGATATATTGTAAATGATTTTCCCCTTAAAAACTTGTTATTTTGTAAATGTATAATTTATTCCATTGTGTTCCAAAGTAAGATGGTTTTAAGTTATATATTTATGAAAGGTATTGGTTGAGATAAGTCACGATAGCTCAAGTGGTAGAACAGCGGCGTATTTAGCCGAAGGTCGTGGGTTCGAATCCCGCTCGTGGCACTGACTTTTTTATCTCAACCAATACCTTTCATAAATATTAATTAATTGAAAAAATTTAATTGGGCAATCGGACCACGAACTATAATGGATTTAAGTTATATAACGTGCGGAGCTGTAACAGACGTCCCATCGATACGGCACTGCATACTGAACTGGCTTGTGAACTCTACTGTCTGCAATTTCGATTTTGGATAATTTGGCCTAGGAAAAGCGTAAATATTATTGTAGTCTCTCTCTGTTTTTGATATGGACCTACGTGGGGTGGTAAATTCTGGTTGAATCGGTTGCTGTTTTGATTGAATCCCTCTGTGGTCTCTGATTTTTTTTTTGTATTTCCATTTCGTTTTATCCCGTTTAACGACGAGTCGATCTCCTGATGAATTATCTCAAATAACAATTTCGGTGTGATCTCTCAAGTAATAATTTGCTATTGAACCATAATATGGGACTGGATTGATGTTCTCCCCGGTTTTGAGGATAAATAGATTCATTTATTGTCGAATTATGCATTTACACGTCGACATACAAATAAATTAGAACAATCAGACTTAAAATATTATTACAAAAATATCACAATAAGGTATCATGGCCTTGAAGAACTAAAAAATTCATTTAGATCATAGTACGATTGTAATTATACAGGGTGTCCTTTTTAAATGGCCCCGCTGGATTTCTCTTGGACCAACGACGCCACCAAAAAAACAAAAAATACTTGTTTAATATTTTTTAGTCTAGTTTCAAATTTTTACCTTTTTTTGATAAAAATTATACAGCGTACCTCAGTACAACTTCAAAATTTCTAGTACAATACATCCCGACATACCATTTAAAGGATTTTTTACGCTAAGAACAATGGTGCAATCTAATTTTAAATTGGTCAAAAAATGGCAAAGCTATGGCAGAAAGTTTGAAAAAACAGATTTTGTTTGTTTCGTTGTCCAATAATTTGCTTCTTCACTAAAGTAAACATTGCCTTTATTATTTATATTCTGTACATTGATTGACAACTCTCATTATGAGAACAAATCTTAATTACTGGAAGTAAATAAATTTTACAATAGTTATTTAGAAATCGTGAGATGCGGTGTGGTGTGATGTAGGTTTCAGAAAAACATTTTCTTTATCGAGCCAACGTTTCGATCTTTATTGAGATCATCTTCAGAACCTGGGATTTACAAACATTGTTTACATTTAACTTCTATATAATCCTGAAAGGATAATCTAGCCGAACCATTACCAACGTTTTTTCCCTTCGTCGGCTCTATTCACCTCAAAGAAGCCGACGCCTTATACAAAAATTTCTTTTCTATACCGACTTCCTTCCCCATCCCTTCAAAATCTATAAACAAAAAATATTTAAATATGTAATCTATAAATATATAAACACAAAACAGCAATATCTCACTGGCACTCTCACCACGACACGCAAGAATGGCACAATTACACAGAAGACAAACACTTTGAGTGAGTAGAAATACTTTGATTGAATATAAAAAATATATTAAATTCACTAATTTCGTGGTCCGCTTGACCAATTAATATATTACAATTAATTAAGGTTTTTAGTTGAGATAAAAAAGTCAATGGCACGAGAGGGATTCGAACCCACGATCTTCGGCTAGATACGCCGCTGCTAAATGTAAACAATGTTTGTAAATCCCAGGCCCTGAAGATGATCTCAATAAAGATCGAAACGTTCGCACGATAAAGAAAATGTTTTTCTGAAACCTACATCACACCAGACAGCATCTCACGATTTCTGAATAATTACTGATTAACGGTCACTAACCACCACACATTTTTACAATAGTACCTATTCATTACAATCAGTATTCCGTTCAAAATAAACCGAGAGCACATTTTTCCGATCAACAGCGACTGCTTTATTGACATTGGTGGAATTTCGCTTCATGCAGTCGAGTTGTGGGACGGATGCATAGAGATGTATTCCGGACTTACAATTTTAAGCCGTTTCGCTCTTACCTTGTCCAGGGACTTCAGGACTCTCAGATTATGACAAGCTTCTAACGTTCCTTGCACAAATTCACGATTTGGGAAGCTGAAAAAAACGTTCTTCCATACATCCTATTTTTAATGGCATGCTAAGCGTTCGCAAATTCCAACGGTTTAGTATGCCATTGAAATAGTGCCGTAATTGAAATTTTGAAATTGAACGGAAACACTGTATAATTTGTCTCCAAAAAAAAGGTAAAAATTTGAAACTAGACTAAAAAATATCAAACACTATTTTTTTGTTTTTTTGATAGTTTTTATGCAGCCGGGCCATCTAAAAAGAACACCCTGTACAATCTTCAAAAATATTATTATTGTCCTTTTAAAAATGGACAAACGATTAATCGTTTTGATACTAGCAGGGAGAGCATAGAAAATGTAAGTTCTCATGTGGGAAACACTATTATTGTGACCCGATATAAACTCATTTTTGGAGTGATTATTATAAGAATGAATTGCCAAATTAGTAGGAAAAAGGATTTTTTTTAATGAAAATGGCAATTCTATAAAAAATATTAATCCATTTACGTTTTAGGGCTCAATTGACCAAGTTACTTCATTCAATTAATTATTCTTTAAAAGATATTATTCAGCTTTTCATTATCGCGTATGGCTTGCTGCTCGACACTGAATTAATTTGACGGAGAATAATATAAAAGATAAAATAATAATTTTGCAAATTGTATTTGCGGTATGGTATTACTGACTTGTACTGATAAGAAAAGTAATGCAATATATTTTGGTGATCATTAGGGATCCATTCAGTTAATTAGAAAATAACGTTTTTCTATATTATATCATTGAAAATTCATTAAACTTTTTAATCTTGCGAGACCTTCTAATCCCTAAACAGTTTGTGGTCTTGAAAAAGTATTAATATTTTCTAATGAAAAGAAATTTAAATATTTTATCCAGCAGTTACTAATTTTGACAAAACATATGACAAATTCAACAATTCAAAAACTGAGTGGATGTGTTTTTTAGGTGTGAGTTAAAACATTAAATTAAACGTAGAAAATAAAATTATTTAATGGCTTTGTAAAACTGAAACTGCGTGTATTGAAAAAGCGGAACAAATAGCAATAGACAAGGAAGAATGGCTGCAACCCCAGTTTGAAGAAATCCGTTGAACGCCTAGTTTTTATGTTGGTTGCTGTACATTTGAAGAATTATGTTAAGAACAATCTGCCAATGGAACGCCGCTCAAATCTGCAGAGATTTCTCCAGGAGCGTCCTACTCCTTGAAAAACGGCCTGTTGATAAGGGGCCAAAAGAATGCAAGCCAAAGGACAGAGAGAAAAAGGAGAAAAAACCCCTTAAAAAATGCATGAGGAAACAAGACAAATTTGAATTAGATTGCAAAGCGGCGAGGTATTGTGACAAGTCCGCCTCGCAAAGGGATCCCAAAGGTAAATTTTTAATTTAGATTGAACGGTTTTGCTCTTTCTTTCGATACACTAAACTAGAAACTAGACTGTGATTTCCGGACCGAGATAATTTTGTACAAAATTCACTGCCAAATATTAATTAAAGCTCAAAATTTACAAAGTGTTGAACGTGTAAGAAAAACAAAAAATGAATGTAAAATAGCACTTGCTATTGTTATTATTCTCTATTTATTTATTTCCTAAGATTACGTAATCGTTATTCATTCATCAGACAAAGTGAGTCGGTTTATTTATAAAGTAAATAAAGCACCTAACTTATAATGTTGCCTATAAAAATCAATCTAAGGTGTCTTAGACAAAACAAATAATAAAGAAGAAAAAGAACAAAATTGAGAGTTATTGGAAAATTTTGTGCCCACGTATGGCATGTGAAATTTTGTTCGAAGTGTCCCTCATAAGTGAATGTTGTCAGTCCGTGGCTCCTTAAAAAGACCGTGCAGGAGTGTTACCCCATATGAGAGTTGTGCTCAACTATCAGGTACCCAGTTCCTATTTTTAGAGGAAACTGGGATGTTTTATAGTTTATAGTAATGGATACATATGTTATTTTGTGTTATACTTACGATGAATGTGTTTATTAGCGTGAATGTGAGAGTGAGAGAAGGCGATGGCAAAATATTGAATACCCAATCGACCTCAATTGGATTGGTTATACACACTGATGGATAATTAGGAGCTATCTTAGACAAAATAAACAGTAAATAATGCTTTTTTTACTTCCTTTGTTTAATTTTGTATTGATTAATCCCTTTGCACAAAAAGTTATGACCTTCCATTCTGCTGCGCCTAAAGATCGCTTTCAGTTAATATTTTTCTTCCGTTGATTTCATTTGATATTATTATTATTCACTAGTTTTAGTGGTCCGCTGGACCAATTAATATATTTCAATTAATTAAGGTTTTTAGTTGAGATAAAAAAGTAAGTGTCACGAGCGGGATTCGAACCCACGATCTTCGGCTAGACACGCCGCTGCTCTACCACTTGAGCTATCGTGACCTCGATAAGTAAAAATGAATTATACCTTCACTAAAGCTCTCCGTGGCCATTTCATTTGTCGCCGAGAGCCAAATAGATTACCGGCATTTGAAAAATGGTATAAAGGAGGGAAAATTCGAAAGGTGGGTTAAGATGGGAAGTCCGAGGGGATCGAGATCACGATCAAGTGGTAGAGCAGCGGCGTATCTAGCCGAAGATCGTGGGTTCCAATCCCGCTCGTGACACTGACTTTTTTAACTCAACTAAAAACGTTAGTTAATTGAATTTATTATTATTCTTAAACCTATTTCAACGGCTCCAGTCAGATAATTGAGTGAGTATGACAGTGTCAGGTTTTTAACACTATTAGGGGAAAAAACAGCCAGCGCAAAGTCGCCAGGAGACAGTAAATCACTCTACAATAAGCTCTATAAGTTCTTCAGCGCTTAAGAAAAACAGGGCTTCACACGAAAGACCAGGACAGGGTCGACCTACAGACCAGAGATCAGGCTACGAAACCGCATCTTTGCGGAAAATGAGATAAGAAATCTGATAAGACAAGTCCGAAATGTTTTGGTTTCATCCAAGACTGTAAAAAGAAGGCTCAATGAAAATGACCTCAGGACCTGGCAGCCGGCTCGTTGACGTCTTCTTACCTCAACTCAGAAAATGACTGGATTCAATCCACACTGAAACTTGCGACATTGGAAAATTGGTGGTGGTTCGTATTGTCACTCGGGAGAAACGTACGGCCGATGATGGTTCCTCAGGTGGCATTCCACGGTGGGTCATTGATGTTCTAGGGTGGCATTTCCTTGGGCGCCAGCACCGAATTGGTTGTTGTGCTAGGCCGCGCTTATATAAATCAGCAATAAATATTTGAGGATTTTAGAAATGAATGTTAGACTACATTGCTTTGTGTTGTTCTCCGTGAAGAAGTGTAGAAAGGACAGTATGTACAATAAGAAATGCAACAAGGTACGTGGATAATAACAATAAGCATTTGTTGAGCAATAAGCAGGTGACAATTGGACAGTTTTTTCCGTGAAAAATGGAGTTTTATAATTATTTAAATAAAGTGAAAGGTTATTTTCAGAGAAGAGCCGTATTTGAGGATCTAGTTGTATAATATCGATGTTTTTATTTAAATATCCTCCCCTATGACCAAAACAGCTCATATTTCTTTTAATTTTAATTCATTGCCCTCTCTACAACAACACTTAATAAATTATTTTAGGCCTTTAATTTTTTTTGTTTAATGTATAATAAAACATTATGTAATATATAAAACGAAATTCTTTACTGTAAAATTGTATTTAAAATTAATAAGAAAAAAAGTCGTAAGAATTTATCATTGTTAGTGAGAAACCAAAATTTCTTTATTCTTAAAAACAACTGATAAAAATCAATTCATCCGGCCCTACATTTATTTTATGTCAACTTTTGTTATTTGCAGGTGGAAGTTATTTAATTTACAAAGCGCTGAGTCTGTTTTTGGGCATCCCACTCATGATAGGTTCTACATACGTGCTGTTAGGTCCAGAACATGAACATGAGAGGCAGCCATTTGTCGCCTACCCGCACTTGAGGAAAAGAGAAGCCGTGAGTGGTCGCAAATAATTGACTTTTTGTTAAATCCCACAGTCGGCCAGTAGATATAACTTGATTTCCTTTTTAGAAATATCCATGGGGAGATGGAAACCGCACGCTTTTTCACAATCCTAAGGTCAACCCCTTGCCAGAAGGTTACGAAGACGAAATAGGAGAGAAATGATTTCTTCAACCGTTGTCAAGGGAGGAGAGTGTTCCAACATAAAAGAAACTTAGAATCATTGTCATTAAATCATTTACTCTAACAAACGTGTGAAATCAATAATGATTATTTGTACAGTGAAATGATAAAATTTAATTAAATATAAAAAACAGTATAACAAAGGCCAACTCTCAGGTCAAAAGAATTACTTATTAAAAAAAATTGTGTGGTGATTAGTGACCGTTAATCGATGATTATGCACAAATCGTGAGATGCGGTCTGGTATGATGTAGGTTTCAGAAAAACATTTTCTTTATCGTGCCAACGTTTCGGTCTTTATTGAGATCATTGAGTGAGTAGAAATACATTGATTGAATTTAAAAAATATATTTTGCATTGTATAAATTCACTTTTCCACATCATAAATGTAATTGTTAAATGTAAACAATGTTTCTAAATCCCAGGCCCTGAAGATGATCTCAATAAAGATGGAAACAATTAATTAAGGTTTTTAGTTGAGATGAAAAAAAGTTAATGGCACGAGAGGGATTCGAACCCACGACCTTCGGCTTGATACGCCGCTGCTCTACCACCTGAGCTATCGTGACCTCGATCCACTCGGACATCAGCTCCCCATCTCAACCCCACTTTATGAGTTTTCCCTCCTTTTGCCATTTTTCAATCCCTCCGGGTTCGAATCCCTCTCGTGCCATTACCTTTTTTTCATCTTAACTAAAAACCTTAATTAATTGTAATGTATTAATTGGTCAAGCAGACCACGAAATTAGTAATTTAATTAATGAAAATGAAGTACACTTCACTAAAGCTCTCCGTCGCCATTTCAATTGTCGTCGAGAATCCAAACAGATTACACGACATTTGAAGAATGGCAAAAAGGAGGGAAAACTCAAAAGGTGCGGTTGAGATAAGAGGTTGGTGTCTTGAGTGGATCGAGGTCACGATAGCTCAAGTGGTAGAACAGCGGCGTATCTTGCCGAAGGTCGTGGGTTCGAATCCCGCTCGTGACTCTGACTTTTTTATCTCAACTAAAAACCTTTATTAATTGGAATAAATTTAAAAGCCAAATTGCTATTCTCGAAGTTTTAATGCTTATCTAAATGAGGATTAAAACATCAGAACCATGCTTGTTCAGAAGTGGGTGAAGGGAAGATAGAGAACTCATAACAAAAGAAAAATGTTCCAATTCTCATTCAGAAACCAGCCAATTGTTAACCAATAAAAATAAAAGAACTGTATTGTTCATAAAACTAGGAGTGGAGCGAGATGGATCAAGTAGATATCACTACTTTAATTTTGGAAGGGAGTCTGGAAATTGTATCTTTTCTTTTATGGACTAGAAAAAGAACGGACTTGTCCACTGTGTAGGTATCATTACATTGATAGGCTAATTGTTTGGAGAGGGTGTGAAATTTGGCCCTTTTTGCACGGTTAGGTTTTTATTTGAATATCTGCTTATCATTTTCCAAGTGCTAAAATAGAAGGGAGTGATCTGTCCGGCTTACATAGACGTTTTCCTAATGGTGACTTAAATGAAATGCTTAGAATTATTTTAACCACAGAAATTAAAATATTTTACTGAATTTATAAAAAAAAGACTGAGTTTTACAAATGAGACCTCCAGTGGGACCGCTGTGTCCTCGTTACAGACCGATTATTCCCGACATATTTTTGAACAAAAAGATTTTTTTTATAACCAATTTTTCACCATCAAGGAGTTATCATCCGACAATAATCCAGTCCAAATTTCAAAAGTCCGAAGTCCAAAGCAGGCTAATAAACTATAATTTGAGCTAAGCTAATTGGGCAAAGTTTATAAGTTCATTGATAATACGTAATTCTGTATACCTTCATCTAATAAAGATACAAGTTTCCATTTGAACAGGGCTTCCCAACCTTTTTAGCCAGCGGACCCCTTCCACAGAACAGGGCTTCAATCCAGGGCCGACCCCTCCCATTCAAGTTTTTAAAATTAGATGTAGTATATGTAGGAAATTAAAATTGTATAAATTAGCCAGTCGATTTCTCATTAGGTGATGGAAAGAGATATCACTATGAATACAAAGGTTAAAAAGTAACTTCTTTCAATTAATGATGAAAAAGTTAGTGTCACGAGCGAGATTCGAACCCACGACCTTCGGCTAGATACGCCGCTGCTCTACCACCTGAGCTGTCGTGACTTCGATCCACTCGGGCACCATCTCCCCATCTACTACAACCTTTCGACTTTTCCCTCCTTTTTGCCTTTTTTCAAATGTCGTGTAATCAAGATTCGATTCTCGGCGACAAATGACTTTTTCATTTCAACCAATACCTTACATAAAGATTAATTAATTGAAAGAAGTTATTTGGTCAATCGGATCACGAAATATAATGGGGTTAAAAAATAATTGAATTTTTTCAATATGTCTTATGTGCCACACATTCAATAATACCTAAATATCTTGATGATTGACATACTTAATTTGTACTTGTAAAATTCGGAACATAAAAATCAAATTGGACAGAATGGAATGAACAGGTAGGTAAAACTAGAGCCAAATGCAATCAAAGAATCTTTTTTGAAACGCAGGCTAAACAAAGTACTGAAGATGATCTCAATAAAGCTCAAAACGTTGGCACAATAAAAAAAAATGTTTTTCTAAACCTATAACCTATTTAACCCCAGTCCGAATCTTACGATCTCTAAATAATAATTAATTAATGGACATTAAACACCACACATTTCTGCACAAGAGGAACGAAGGACAACATGGAATTGTATGAACATATATCAATTACACATGGACAACAAACAAAGATTATTCTGAAGGGCATCGCTAGCAATGACAAGACACCTGCATCTGCAATCCATAGAGAACCTTTTTGTTGAAATGCAGGCAAAACAAGGCCCTGAAGATGATCAATAAAGCTCGAAACGTTGGCGCAATAAAGAAAATGTTTTTCTAAACCTATTACCGATTATCTCGATAAAAAAAGTCAGTGTCACGTACGATCGAAGACACGATATTCAAGTGGTAGAGCAGCGGCGTATTTAGCCGAAGGTCGTGGGTTCGAATCCCGCTCGTGACACCAATACCTTACATAAAGGTTAATTAATTGAAAAAAGATCGAAACGTTGACACGATAAAGAAAATGTTTTTCTAAATCTACATCACCCCAGAAAGCATCTCACACTCTCTAAATAATAATACCATCATCGTTGCTTTTCATAATACATATATACTTAATATTAATACTATATTACATTTTGCGTTGTGGCAATTGAATTCTAGAATTGAAAATTAATTTGAATCATGGTGGGAAATTTGGGAGGAACCAATAAATAAAAACTTATTGTAAGCCGAGTGGGAGGGGAGGAATCGAAGAATCTGAAAAAAGAATCGACTCACCCGAGGGATTGAATCGAAGAGAATCGATTCATTTAAAAGAATCGTTATTTGTTCTCCCCATCGCTAGCTGACAGTCTATGGGCCTCTTAAATGATTTTATCAGAACGGTTACATTCTTTTCAGGTTATATTTGGTCTTAACTCTTATCAGTCGCGTCTAGATAGTGTTACGCGTTTGAGGGGCGTTTCGTAGGCCGTCCGACGGTCTTCTTTTTCCATTTTGCATGCCGTTTTGACCATCCGAAGATGATCCGCTTCATTCTGATCCAGAACCGGGCCGGGAAGACCCGCCTCGCCAAATGGTACATGAACTTCGACGACGACGAGAAGCAGAAGCTGATCGAGGAGGTGCACGCAGTCGTGACGGTCCGCGACGCGAAGCACACCAACTTCGTCGAGTTCCGCAACTTCAAGATCGTCTACAGGCGCTACGCCGGCCTCTACTTCTGCATCTGCGTCGACGTGAACGACAACAACCTTTGCTACCTCGAGGCAATTCACAATTTTGTGGAAGTACTCAACGAATACTTCCACAACGTCTGCGAGTTGGACCTCGTCTTCAACTTCTACAAGGTATACACCGTCGTCGACGAGATGTTCCTAGCCGGGGAGATAAGGGAGACCAGTCAGACCAAAGTACTCAAGCAGCTTCTCATGCTTAACTCTCTCGAGTGATGGGAAAAGACTTTCCCGGTTCGTATGTATTTATCCCAAGCCGCTGCATTGAGTTTTATCCACACAAAAAATGTATTTTATATTTTGTTATTGGGTCCGGGCAACCCAAATCGTAAAATCTGAAAAAAAATTGCCTGTTATGCATTTCTAATCTATTTATCGTAAAAAAAGCTGTTAATATTATATATACATTAATTATCTGTATATCCTGAAATATAAGTCATTTATTAAGTGTCAATAAATTCTTTTAACTCCTACATTTTACTCCAGCTGTATTTACACCTTCAAACCAAAAAAAGTCGTTGTTACTACATGGCCAAGTCAACAACTGGACATGGTTGATCATAAAATTTATTTAATACACTGTTGGACAAATTTAACACACCACTCAATTTTTTTAGTTTAAAATTAAATCCATTGTTTTTGTACATTAGTAACAGGTAATTAGGAGCTATCCCAGCCAAAATAAACAGTAAATAATACTTTATTCACTTTTCCTTTGATGATTTCATTTGATTTATTCTTATCCTTAAACCGTTTTTCAATGGCTCCAGTCAAGCGTTAGCATATGACAGTGTCGGGGTCATAACATTATTAAAATAAGTCGCCAGGAGATTGAGTGTAAATCACTCAACAATAGGAAGGGTTCTTCAGAGAAACAGGACTTCTCACTAGACTAGGGTCGACCTAGGTCTACAGACCAGAGAAAATTAGATCATCATCAGGCTCAGCGAAACTGCAGCATTACAGGTAATGAGATAAGAAATCTAATAAGACAAGTGTGAAATGTTTCGATTTCCTCCAGGACTTTAAGAAGAAGAATGAAAAAAATGCTCGGCTTCTCATTTCTTCTTTTTACCACGACTCAGAAAATGGCCAGGTTTCAATGCGCACAGGAACCTGTGAATTAGACATTGGAAGATTAAGGATGAGTTCTCGAGGTGAGAGTGGGCCTCAAATTTTCAGATGGCATAATATCATACGGAGACGCTCAGGAGGTACATGCTCTATGGTTCCTCAGGTGGCATTCCACGGTGGGTCTGTTAAATTTATTTTATTTTATTACAATGGTAGAAAATATTTTATGACTACCAAAATAATAAATTTTAACATCCGAGATTTCATATATTTAGTAGATTCATAAAAATATCATATTTTTTAAAATTACATTAAAGGTTGATTGAATAATGAGATTTGGCTTTAGTATGTGGAGTGATGAATCTGTAAGTTGGTCGTTACCTAACATTTTGGTCTTCCTATCCTCGCTGGTTTGGTTTGCCAGACGCATTTTGACATTTTTTCTTAATGGTTGCTCCCGGTGATTTTTCTGAAGTCTACATTCTTTTATAAGGTTTCTGTCACAGACACTCTGATGAAGACAAAATGTTGAAATGCACCAACAGACCAACCATTAAACAGTTATATATAATATTATTTTGATAATTTTTTATTTAAATTAATGGTTCTCTTGGACGGACAAATCCGTCAGTGGAAAGCACAGTGTAAGTCTGCAAGCTATATATGTGACAGAAATGTTCTAAGCTAATCAAAAATGAAGTAAAAAAACGAAATGGAGAGAAACAAAAGATATACCAAAAAACCTGAGACCACCAGCCATAAAAATGACCAGAGTCAGACTCAAAAATAATGTAGAAAATGACCAAAAATGAAAGTAAAAGAACAGACATACATGTGGGAAGGATAACCGCATGTAAAAAAATAAAAAGTACAAATAAACAGTGGTAGACAAATAAACTTTTAAACAGAAACAAGACACAAACAAGAAAGCTTAGGGGCGTCGGTAGCCGCAAGGGTTTAGGCGTTGATACGGCGCTCATCGCTGTAAGTAAAGGTCCTGGGTTCGAATCCAGCGGTCCCGCATTCGAACCCGACATACAAATAGGCTTTTTAAAAAAAAAAAAACACCAGCACCCTGAGGGTTGATATGACCTCTGCCGTTGCAAACCCTAAAAAAAAACTCATGAATAGGCTTCTTTTTTTTTTTAATTTACTGTATTGGTTTGCTATAAGCATACAGTAATACTACATTCATATACACATTATATAATAAATACATAAGTATGCATCACATAATAAATAAATTAATTTAAATAATTAAAACAATGAACACAGAAGATGAAATAAGTATATAATTACCATAACACCTGTACAACAACAGGAAAGTCTACATCATAGTATCACACTTCAGTGTAACATTCTTTCAAAAATGCATATATCAATTTATACATGTCACATTTCCAGTAAGCTTTCCCAGTAAAATGATCGTTCAAAAGTTCTCAGCATATACGCCCTGTTGAAAAATGTCTGTATCGTCTCTTTATATTCTGGGCAGGTCAAAATTATATGATTTAAGTTTTCCAGTTCATCACACAACTCACAGTTTGGAATAGCTCTGCAGCTAATTTTATGCATGTACATTAAGAAAATAGCTTAAAAAAATGAATTAATTATACTTTTTGGTTAAAATGAAAAAGGTAGTGTTACAAGCAGGATTCAAACATACATACATTGCTCAAATACAGTGGTTTGAGCAAATCCAGGATATTGAAGCAAAAAATTCTTTTGTGCAATTAATTCCTGAGAACTATGGTTTTGGCCATATTTCCAGGAATATGGATTTATATACCAAACCCATTCCTTCGGTGTACCATGCGCTCCATTCTTGCATCAACTGTTTGGTGAAGAGGCATTTTTCGTTTGTCTTCAGCAATTTGAAATTGCGATATTCTCCGTGCTTTGTGGCTTTTTTGATTGGTTCACTACCTCATTACCACAGATGCCTCAATCAACAGATTTCAATAGTTATTATTTTGCATAATTAATCAGCAGCATATTGTTGTATGATTTTTTTCCAATATTATTTATATAAGAATTTTAAATGTATTAATTTACAAAGACAATTTAAAAATTTACAATAACAATGATAAATGCAATCATTTTTATCTATATTTATACGAAACTTTCTTTTTAGCTAAATATGTAATTAGTAGTTATAATTTACCATTTGAATTATTTATACTTTTTTATCTAAGGTTTGATTGAGATGAAAAACCTTCGGCTGGGTTCGAATACTGCTCGTGACACTAGCATTTTCATGTTAATTAAGACCTTAAATAAAAAATTATAATTAATTAATTTTGGAAGCTATTTTCTTAATTTACATATTGTTTTATACTCAAATAATTTTTTTATATTTTGTTTCCTTAGTTGTCCTTTTTATATTGTTTTTATTTTGTAATATTTCTTTTACATTTATGCATGTATTATACATTTTTTTTTTTTAATTGGATTAATTCCATATACATTGGACTCTATATACATATATATAAGACTATTTTTATGAACTCTTCTCGCAGTTCGTCAAATTCCTCGCAGAAAAAAATTAATAGTTTCAGTTCGTCTCATACATGACATGTTGCACATTGGGAGATTGTCTTTGTTTGATTCTGTGAAGGTACGCACCACTTACACCATGGTTTGTGCTTTATGTAGAGAACAAGAAAAGCATACTAATAATAAAAAATGAACACATTATATCAAAAGTTTTAATTTTTTCAGTGTATTGTGCATATGTATGTAAATAAAGGTTTTATTTTTTATATGTACATGTTTTCATCCACGTTTAATTCAGTCAAAAAATGACATGTAGATTGATCAATTCCATGGCTTGTTTAAGAGTAATACTCAGGTATTTCTGTTGTTCATCTTCTTCACCACCCATGTCATTTGTTTTCAGTTGAAATTTCATCATTAAGGAATCCAGTCACTGCAACGTCATCATCAAAATTAATGAAGTCCTGAAAAGTGACAAGATTTTTTTTTTTCATTTTGTGACCATAGATGCCATCTGATTGAGGCTTGGATTTGATTTTTCAGTTCCATGACTGATATATCCTTCGGGAGGCGCGGTACCTGAGTGGTTAAGTAAGGTGTCAGACTCTCGGCTAGTAGATCCCGCGGGTTCGATCCCCACCATCGCCTCTGGACTTTTTGGGGACTTCGATGGACACACTTGTGTTGCGAGCCCCTAAACAATGGAGCCAGGGATAAAGTACAATAAACTGTACAGCTGCAGTGCTCAGGAGGGAACTCCCCCAGTTGCTGGTATCCATTGTAAAAAAAAAGAAAAAAATTATATATCCTTTAGGATATGACAACAATCAATTTTTTTCTTGTGGTTGCCATTGCCTTTTTTCATGCTTTGACGGCAATATTCATTGCAATTAATTAAAATTTTTAGTTGAGATAAAAAAGTCAATGGCACGAGCAGGATTCGGATCCACGATCTTCGCCTAAATACGCCATTGCTCTACCACTTGAGCTATCGTGACCTCGATCCACTCGGACACTAACTTCCCATCACAACCCCACCTTTTGAATTTTCCCTCCTTTTTGCCATTCCCGCTCGTGCCATTGACTTTTTTATCTCAACTAAAAATCTTAATTAATTGTAATGATTTAATTGGTCAAGCGGGCCACGAAATTGGTGAATATAATGAATTTAAATGAAGTACACTTTACTAAAGCTCTCCGTCGCCATTTCAATAGTCGTCGAGAATCCAAACCGATTACACAACATTTGAAAAATGGCAAAAGGAGGGAAAACTCATAAGGTGGGGTTGAGATGGGGAGTTGACGTCCGAGCGGATCAAGGTCACGACAGCTCAGGTGGTAGAGCAGCGGCGTATCTAGCCGAAGGTCGTGGGTTCGAATCCCTCTCGTGCCATTAACTTTTTTTCATCTCAGCTAAAAACCTTAATTAATTGTGATGTTACAAAATACATTACACCAAGTGCGCTGAAATGCATTGATTTTATACGATTTTTAAAAAAAATTTTCAACAGACCAGCATTTTCTTACGATATGTCAGCAAACAAATATCAAGATTTTACTTATTAAATTTGTCAACTTAAAAAGGTTTCATTTTTATTTAATGGGAAATTATACAAAAAAATGTACACATTGCTTGTCAAAAAACTTCATCACTCTAAAATATCATTTATTTATAGCTAAAAAATAAATATATTCACATACTATATTGCAAACCAATAATATACATTAAAATGGATCCATAATTCAAACACAATTGTCTTGATATAAGATATTGATTCTATAAATATCTAAAAAGTAAAATCTAAAAAACACACAAATTAAAACTTTGGTTATGCTTTTTTTTCTGTTAAATATAAGTCGGTAAATGTCATTACAAGTCTATCGCAAATGACGATTCTGACATGCCGAGTGGCTGAATCAGTACAAAATAAATTACACCTAAATAAATGCTCTTCATTAATTTAGAATGGATATGCATAAATATAAAATTTAATATCACAAAATATGGCCTTTGACCTCTATGATTTTATTTGATGTCACAGACGAAATCGTAGTTGGGAGGGTCGTCAGGGATTGGAGGAGGCTCTTTTGGAATGTCGATACCTTCTGCGTCCAAAAGCCTTAGTTTGATATCCATTGAGAGAAGCGTTTCGAGATCATTTTCAGTTTCTTTGCTCACCATTTTGTTACCTGATTAAAGCAAAAAAAAAACATTCTTTGTAATTTTTATATTAAAAGAAATATAAGGGTACAACCTAAAAGGGCATTTATCCCATCTGTCCAATAATTGAAGACCTGTTCATCAGGGGCTACAAAGTCCAAGGACTGTACATCAACAGATTCCAACGTAAGAGAAAATGCCAGCTGATGTGTAGTCTTTCGGCCTCTACAAAATTTTGTGTATTACTTTTTTTGTCTAATCGTGTATCTAAATTCTACAAACCTGGTATCTTTCATATGTGGGCAATCTTTTCCAGTGACGAGAGCTTTAATATCAATAACGGCTAGTTTATTTGGAAGGTTTTCGACAGTTGGAACACTTTTTTCATCACAGTCGCCATAGTGGAAGACTTTATGACTCGGAGACAACCTTACGTACCAGAATTTATCTTTAATTCTCTGAAAGTATTACAATACTAGTCAGTTTTGTCTGAATTAATATTATTGTTTTTAAAAAAAATCACCTGCCCTCTTTGTGAATATTTTGTGAAACGAGTACCGTCCACCAAAAAAGCCAATCTCTGTTTTTGTATCAGCTCTAGTATCTCCGGTGTTATCATTTCTTTTAACTGAACAATCGGCTTTGCGTGAGACTCCCACTCTTCCCTCGTGGTGCGTTCTTGTTGCCAGAGGGAAGTTATCTCGCTGTACGTGAGGCAGAGAAGGCGCATCCTGAATTTGTCAAAGGCGCTCGAGTGGTCTGCGAGGGCTCTGGTGATTTGTTCGCGCACGACGCTGAACACTTTGACAAAGTCTTCAATCGTAGCACGCATCTCTTTCCAGGTTTTATTGAGGAGAACAATGCATATACAAAAGAACTCCTCGAAGGGGTGTTCGTGTGTGAAGAACATCGGGTAGTAAGTCTGTCCCTGTTCGTTTGGTGGTTCGCCGATCTGTAGCATTTGGCAGAGCAGCTTGACAAGCTCTAGGCTCGTCCTACCAAAAGGGCACTCGTGTTCATCGGCTCTGCACGAATTCTCTAATACAACCTAATGATTTACAAATTTTACTATCTATATTTAAATATAAAGAAAACCAAAATCTTTAATTACATACTATGATCAAGAATATTTATAATTATAGTACAAAATAATTATAGAATTAGAAATAATCAGGGTTTCAGTTTCTACCATGTTTGAAGTCCATTGTGGGGAATGCTTACACCTCGTAATAATTATATAAATGTATATACAGGGTGACTCCAATCGATTCAGGCACATGTCCCTATCTTATAGGAAATTGAACGCTGAGTAAAAAAGGTCCTATGAACCTGTCCTCAAACCCTTCAGTTCCGAGCTACAGGCAAAAAAACCATGAAAAACCACGTTTTTGGATCTTATTCGTGAAATTGTTAGTAAACCGTTAGCCTGACCGTAAAACAGCTCGAAACAACATCTGTAGAGGATTAATTTCTGCGTCGAATGAGATTAAAACCAGCCTGAACAGCCGAAAAGTTCATTTTTGGTGATTTTTCGAAGTTAGGAGGTGGAGGGGTACACAAAATCCACCATTTCTGACATTTTTATTGAAAATTCACAACTTGAACACCCTATCAAAAAATTCTCTGTTACAAACCTCATTTGTTGGTGATCGAATTCTCCGTCACATTAGACCAACCCCAGTCTGACTAATGAAACATTCAAATTTTGGCTAATTCACTGCTTTTCATCTAAATCGAATGTTACTGTTTTCTGATGGGTACTCCTTACTGAATGAAATAATGAACGAAAAATCTGAATGGCTTACTTAGCAATTTTAGAAAATGTACGCAAAATCGATAAAAAATGTCAGAAATGGTGAATTTTGTGTACCCCTTCACCTCCTAACTTTGAAAAATCACCAAAAATGAAATTTTTGGCCGATCAGGCTGGTTTTAATCTCATTCAATGCAGAAATTAATCCTCTGCAGATGTTGTTTCAAGCTGTTTTATAGTCAGGCTAACGGTTTAATAACAATTTCCCGAATAAGGTCAAAAAGCGTGGTTTTTCATGGTTTTTTGCCTGTAGCTCAGAACTGAAGGGTTTGCGGACACAGGTTCATAGGACATTTTTTACTCAGCGTTCAATTTCCTCCAAGAGCTGTAAGTGTGACTGAATCAATTGGGGCCACTCTGCATACTGAGAGGCCAAAAATATATATATATATTTCTTATTCTCCCACACTTTGACTCTGGTGATGTACGAGAGACTAACTGAGGACTTAAGACTTAAGCACTTAATGAATTGTTTTGTACGCTTCATTTTCATCTCTCCAAGGAGGTCCCACATGAGTGATCTTACTTTAGCTTGAAGTGGTTATACCTTTCCCACCGCAGGCTATACTTCCTTGGTTTTACAAGGCAATATCTTCCCACTTCCCTCCTAATCTTTAAATCTTCGGTACACCGCCGTCATCCTCGTTCTAGCTTTTCTGATCTCTATCCTCCTAAACACTGAACTTCTGCAATCCCTTTTAAAAAAAGATAGTTCCTACCATTGAGCGCCATTAAAAAACCAGCTCCTCATTGGAACGTCGTGTTGGCGGGGGTATCGGCGGATTCTGTTTTGCAATTCATGTCGAGAGACGTGGTTGTAGAAATCCTTCAACCTGATGATGAGCTAAAAGCTCAAAATCCGGACCGTTAGAAAACAACTTACTGTGAGTAGGAACTATCTTTTTAAAAAAAGGATTGAGCACCGCACTCACTCCATCATTCACTATTTCCAGAAGTACTGCTTTCAGTCAGATTTAATCTGTTAGCAAAGTTGTCAGAATTTCTTTAATGAACCTACAACTTCAAATGAACATAAAACAAAGCTTAAATTTCAACCCGTCTCTAAAATGCCATCCTTCAGTCAAAACCCTTATTCTTTTTTTAAAAAGATAGTTCCTACTCACAGTAAGTTGTTTTGCAATGATCTGGATTTTGAGCCCTTTAGCTCATCATCAGGTTGAAGGGCTCAAAATCCGGATCGTTGCGAAACAACTTACTGTGAGTAGGAAGTATCTTTTTGAAAAGGATTGAACACCACACTCACTCCATCATTTATCATTTCAATAAACCCTTATTCAATCAATAAAAATCAGATTAGAGTTAATGTAAAAGTTCAATCGAAATACAGTTTACAAGGCCATGCTTTCAATACTAAAACGTAAATAAACATTATAAGAGAATGTACTGTCACGACTCAGGAGATCTCGCAACACATGAACCGTGGAAGCGGGGGTGTGGTCACCCTTTTCCAGCGGGGAAGGAGACTCCGCCAGCATTAGGCCCTTTAGCGCCAGGTGCGCTAAGGATGTTGTGAAGGACAGACCTACTGCAGAGGGGACTCCCAAATTAAGTGCAGAATAATTAAAATAACCCAAAAAAGGCATCCTTTGTATAAAACTTTTCTCACCATTTATTTTTTTTTCCTTAACAATACAGAAGTACCTTTTATTTTAATAATTTAACCTTATTCCCGTAATCCCCTTTTTAGTGCACCGCACCTCCTTTTCCACCGTCTCACCGACGAGGAGGTCGTGGCAGTACTATGGCCTTAAAGTATGTAAATCTGCTGCATAAAAGTGCACGAGATCTCAAAAATAATGTGTGAAACCAGAAGAAATGTTCTCAAATATTTTCCAAGCTAATCAGCAACTTATAAACGATGTTAAAAATTTTCAAACCAATATGCGATATCAGAATAATACAAACTAAAATTGACAAAATGAATTTATGATTGCTTCGATGGATTTGCTGCTCTATAATTTCAAAGAAAGGACCTTCGGAGGAGATAATAGACTAAAAATTGATATCGTTATTTTATCCGAAACTTGTCTCCAGCCATAGAATAAAATTTTCTGGTTTTAATTTCATACATCACAATAGAAATGATGGTTATGGAGGAGTTGGGTTGCTCGTTCAAAATTCAATGCCATTTTCCAACATCAGTATAAATTGTAACATATCAACTTTCATCACAACGGGTGTGCATTTTACGATCCCGTGCAGAATTACAGCAAAACGCTTTCACTCCCACAGTACCTACCCATATATAGTGCAGAATTGATTGCTATAAGGGAAGCTATGAAGTATGCGAATGACAAGCAATTCCCAAATGTCATATGTACAGATTGTCATAGCTGTGTTGAACAACTTCGTAATGACAAAAAGTTGTTTATAGCAGACTACATTATCATCGAGATCCTTGAACATTCAGCAATGATCAGGTCTAAAGGGCATAAAGTAGTAATCACCTGGATCAAAGGCCATACGGGGTTCAAACACAGTGATGTCATAGATCGGCTAGCCAAAGATGCCACCACAACAGACAACACTCTAAATGTAGCTGTACCCAGAAAAGATCTGCATGCTATATTAAGTATTAATGCTTTATTAAGTAGATAGATTGGCAAACCAAATACCTTTCAAACAACAAAGGTGTATTCCACAAAAATATGTTTCCGTTAGTAGGACAAGAGCCTTGGTTCAGCAAAGAAAATAATATAAACAAGGCCTTTTGCAAAACGATCCAATCACGGACTCTGCAAGGGATACCTCAATAGACTGAATATAATTTCGTCACCGTACTGTGAGGACGGTGGAATATACGAAGAACTTGAACACATCATCATGCACTGCAGGAAACACGGGAATGAATGCAGAAATATGTTTGATAGACTTTTTAATGACAAAGAAATAAATCTACAACCGCTTTATGTATATGGTACTTTGTTATCGTCAACCGAATAGGCTGTATATCGTGAGTTGTAAGCTTTCCTTAGAAATAGTATGTTACTGTGTGATTGTATAAAAGTGTATAAAAATATCGTAATATCTAATTCTCAATAATAATAATAATAATAATAATAATAAATAATAATAATGCGAATAATGAAAAAAAATGGCTGTATAAAATTTTTGGAGTAAAAAAAAAAAACTTTTATGATTACATCAATTCAGATTCAATTAAAAAGTTATGTATCCCCCCCTAATCATTGTATTTGTATATAATAACCCCAGAAATAATAATCACCAACAAGATACTTGTTTGACCTTAAATATCTCATTGCTTTATATTATTAAATGTAAACAATGAGTTGAAAGGAATGTTTAATTTAAAAATTGCAACCTGTTTAAAATAGAAAACCAAAGGATTTTTAGTCAAATCAACGGTTTAACGTACAACTTGGGTGGGCCGGTCAAGAGGTCAAATCACTTTACAATGCTTTCTCCGTATTATTCACAATTAAAAATCCATGGTCTATACTGGGATTCAAACCCAGGATTGCTAGTATGGCAAATAGTAGTTGTTTGCCCTCACCAGTGAGCCACCGCAGTCTCCTTTTTATTACTAAATAAATAAATTGTTAAGTATTTTTATTTTTTTGAAGTTTCCCTCCTTTTTGCCATTTTTCAAAAGGTGGGGTTGAGATGGGAAGTTAGTGTCAGGTGGTAGAGTAGCGGCGTATCTAGCCGAAGGTCGTGGGTTCGAATCCCGCTCGTGCCATTGACTTTTTTATCTCAACTAAAAATCATAATTAATTGTAATATATTAATTGGTCAAGCGGACCATGAAATTAGTGAATTTAATGATTTAAAATGAAGTATACTTCACTAAAGCTCTCCGTGGCCTTTTCATTTGTCGTCGAGAATCTAAACCGATTACACGACATTTGAAAAATGGCAAAAAGGAGGGGAACTTCAAAACGTGGGGTTGAGATGGGAAGTTAGTGTCCGAGTGGATCGAGGTCACGATAGCTCGAGTGGTAGAGCAGTGGTGTATCTAGCCGAAGATCGTGGGTTCGAATCCCGCTTGTGCCATTGACGTTTTTATCTCAACTAAAAACCTTAATTAATTGTAATATATTAATTGGTCAAGCGGACCACAAAATTAGTGAATTCAATATTTACTTTTTTTTTTTTTTTTTTTTTTTCAAATTAGTGTATGGTATACAAACATGTTGCGATAATCTGCCATTACAAATGAGAAATGTTCGACAAGAATTCTATGACAGATTGAGCTACAATTATTTAATTAATTATGTGTTTATTATTATTATTTCCAAAGACGGTTGAGAAGAAAATCGGAAAAGATTGAGCTACTGCGGCTGTATGGGATGTCTTCAAACTTTGATTTGATTTTGTTTTTCTGAACTTTTTATAAGTACATAATAGTTTCATTTCTTAGTAGATTTTGTAGCTTTATTTAAATACCAATTTTTTTTAACAATATTTACAAGTTTATAAATTAGAATGGAATTCATTCATTTACAAATTACACCAGAGTCCGTTTAAGCAGTGCATTGTTTTTCTAATGATGCGTTAACAAATGATATAAAGATAGATATAAAGTGACATAATATAAAGGATGAGGTTGTTTGTAGGCAAGTTGGCCTAATTAGTTAACTAGGTCTTCCTTATTAAGTACTTCCTCCCTCTAAAGTACAAAAGTTACCTTCGTGTAGTTCTCTGTTTGCGTTTTGGCAAAGTAAACCATACAATCCAAAGCTAGCATTCCAGGAGGGGTTTCAGTGAAGTCCAGAGCCGGGTTGATGTCGTATTTAAATCCAAGCTTTTTGTAGTCTTTTGTGTAAACGCCGAGCTGTTTTTTTGCCAGGGAGTCATTGCCGGCAGTGCCTTCTGTGTCGAAGGCGATTTTCCTCAATTCCTTGATTTTCTCGTGGGCGTCTTGGTCCTGAACAAATATTGTTAACTTTCAGCGATATAACGAACAAATTTGTTAAATTACCTGTGAATCCATTTTAGTCCTCATTCTGGGTTCAAGCAGGCCGAGCAGATACGTCTGATAAACGTACAGTTGATGAGCTAACTCTGCACCGACCTAAAATCAACAATAAATTCTGTTTTGATTTTCTGACTGCACAAACAATTATATTTGATATAATACAAGAAAATTTACAAGGATCACAATAAATTTATTTGTTAGAAATAATATCAAATTATCATTTATTTGACAATGTATACACTAAGAGGCAATAAAAATGGCCATCATCTTTTTTTTTCTTGTTTTTTTAATTTATTTAGCAAATACATTATTTTAATTTTTATTTTTTGTTCTTTACTGGATATAGTTAAATAAAAATAAATAAATAAAAATAAACCAAGTAAAACAATTTTACCAAAAATGTTGCTAAGGTAACCAAGAAGATAATTCAGTATAGATTATTTTCTTCTCTTGCATTGATCACTGCTTGCATTCAATGTGGCATCAATTTTATTAGGTTTTGGATGTAGTGTTGAAGAATATTTTCATACTCCTCCAACAGCGCCATTCTTAATTCCTGCAAATTCTCTGGTATCGCTTTTTCCCTCTTTGACGCCTCATTCGAAAGGTGTTCAATAGGATCTAAGTCGGGGCAACAATCTGGCCACACCAACATTGAATTGAAGCCCATTCCAAGTAGTCGCCAACTTTGTATTGTAATGCATAAAAATAAAACCGTCACCAATTAATGGCATATAAGGAACATCGTCTGATAGCACATCTTCGATATATTCACAGCAGTCAGGGGAACCCTCGAAGAAGTTCAAGTTTGTGTGACCTTCCAGAGAAATGGCCAAACCATAACATCACTTCCATAGCTTCTCCGGAGTTAGAGCTCCATTTGCAGCCGAACATAAACTCTTCAGCTGTACCAAATTCAATGCAGAAAGAGAACATTTGCAAAAGACCATCACCTCAGCAGACTGGCCACCTAATCTCCAGAAACTAGCCTGTGATATCAAATCGTTTGCAGCACTAAAAGACTTTGCCTCAACTACACTTAAATGAACAAGTTCCTTTTTATTCTAATTATAGAGTTTTATTACCGTTATTTATTTATTGCATAATTAAACATAGGTTTAGGTTTAGGGTTCCAGGCTGTTTTCCTCTTCTTTGTAAGAAAATTTTAGATAATATAAATATATAGAAAATAAAATGAAGAAAAGTAAATGTGCAAGAGGAAACCAGCAAGGGAAGACGTTTTGTTTTAGGTTTTAAAATGAAAATATGGTCCTTTCAAAAATCGACCAGCAATCCTGCCTGAAGGAAAGATCATTGGGAGGTAATTTTATCCCATTTATTTGAAATCCCTTAGATATACAAATTCGATTAAGCTAAAGCGTTTGTCCGCTGGTATGGGGTCTTCCTCAGGTACGGCAGGGTGGTGGAAAGGGTAAAAAAAGCTATATATCACTCTACTGTTCTTCACAAACCCTCTTTCACCTGTCAAATGACCCAAATGACCTCTAATAATCCGAAAACAAGATTTTAGTCCATTCTTGCTCAGACCAATCGACTTAACTGAGCTGTTTGGTGTATTGTTAGAAGTTTTGGACCAGTGGTAGGCCTTCTCACACATAATCCAGTTTACAAAAGGCTTCACCTTACAGTGCGTAAACTGGCATTAACATGTAGAAGACATCGCTTGATCTCAACAGCGGTAGAAATGTCGATTACTGAGTGAATTCGAAACAACAAAATTATCATCTCTCTGAGATGTGACACGATGGTGACCTGATCCATGCCTTCTTGAGTAACCTCCAGTATCTTGGTAGCGATGGAAGACCCAGTTGTTCTGGGAATGTTAAGCACCCTGGCCACTATACGCTTGACTTCTTCCATCTTCAAACAATGCTATTATGCTAGCCGAATCTGTACCACTTAAAACCATCACTCAAACAAATTTGCAACTTAAAAATGGAACTACTTAAAAAAAAAAAAAATGATACCACCAGAACATTAGGAAGAAGTTTTACAGAAAAAGCAATGAAATTTGGGTTAAGAATTACGCCAATCCTATAATGCGTCGCAATCATATACATCATGGAAGAGATGTGGGCATTTTTTGAAGCTAATGACATTCATAACAACCGAATAGCCGGATTTGAAGTAAAAGCTGGTGCTAACCCCACGATGGTGCACTGTGAAATACACCATGGGCAGACAGGGGGGATATATGTACATGAAAATGGACTAGAACAATTTATAGTTATAGATAACAGAATCCACTCGAATAATTATGCCGAAGTTTGGATAACTTCCAACAGCAACCCAACAATAAGACTAAAAGAAATTTACAATTGGCAACAAGGGGGTGGGTATATTTTTGGAGAAGGTAGAGGCTTAATAGAACACAAAAATATATACAGCAATGCACTAGCTGGAATTCAAATTAGTACGAATAGCGATCCTATTGTCAGGCACAACAAAATCCATTATGGGCAACATGGTGGCATTTATGTTCATGAAAAAGGTCAAGGGCTTATTGAAGAGAATGAAGTTTATGCAAATACTTTAGCCGGCGTTTGGATAACAACAGGCTCCACCCCTGTATTAAGATGAAATCGTATTCACTCTGGAAAACAAGTCAGTGTTTATTTTTATAACAATGGCCATGGCAAACTGGAAGACAATATATTTAACCACTTATACTCAGGAGTGCAGATAAGAACTGGAAGTAATCCAATTATTAGAGGAAATAAAATATGGGGTGGACAGAATGGTAGTGTTCTAGTTTACAATGGTGGTCTAGGCCTATTAGAACAAAACGAAATTTTTGATAATGCCATGACTGGAGTTTGGGTTAAAACAGATTCAAATCCAACGTTAAAAAGAAATAAGATATTTGATGGAAGGGATGGAGGAATTTGTATTTTTAATGATGGAAAAGATATTTTAGAGGAAAATGACATATTTAGAAATGCGGGAATGTTAATTTCTACACAAAGCCACCCGATATTATTTATATAGGAGTCGAAATCACAAACAATGCGATAGCAACACTTGAAAACAACCAAATCTTTAACAATCGCTTCGACGGGCTGTGTCTTGCCAGCGGGGTTCAACCAAGCGCTGCAACAAAATATTCAGCAATCAAGATGCTGTGGAAAAAGAGGAACCCAAAAAGAAGCAAAGAGATTGACTAATCAAAGATTAATTTATAAAATCCAATTGTAAACACAAGTGGGAGATGTTTTATTTACCTCTAATATGTTAAAAACAAATCAAATATTGTTGTGAGATGAATGGAGGATTGTCTAATAGATAATTAAAAATTACAATTAATTAAGGTTTTTAGTTGAGATGAAAAAAAGGTAATGGCACGAGCGGGATTTGAACCCACGATCTTCGGGTATATACGCCGCTGCTCTACCACTTGAGCTATCGTGACCTCGATCCACTCGGACATCAACTTCCTATCTCAATCCCACCTTATGAGTTTTCCCTCCTTTTTGCCATTTTTCAACACGGTGGGGTTGAGATAGGAAGTTGATGTCCGGTGGATTGAGGTCACGATAGCTCAAGTGGTAGAGCAGCGGCGTATCTAGCCGAAGATCGTGGGTTCGAATCCCGCTCGTGCCATTAACTTTTTTTCATCTCAACTAAAAACCTTAATTAATTGTAATGTATTAATTGGTCAAGCGGACCACGAAATTAGTGAATTTAATAATTAAAAATATTAAGGATGGCCACTTTTTTTGCCTCTCAGTGTACATAATATATTATTAGTAATGTTTACATTTGAAAAATAGATAGCTCAAATAAAATGTTATATAGAAATTGATAAAGTGTATTATATAATATATAATATTGCAAAATCATCAACTGATTTATTTACCTTTTCTGGTGATTTTTGTATAATATAAGTGAGAATAGCATTGCGGACTTGTTTAGAACAAAGTTTCGTTGCAAGCGCTTTCTGCTTAGCAGCATCTGCTTTAGCTAGGAACGCATTGATGAGAGCCAAAGTGTTCTGTTGAATGACCGGGTTCTGCGTCTGTAAATGCTGCTCAAGATTTTGGAAAACCACTTCCTTTTCAATCTGGGCGTATTTGCCAGTGCTGTTGACTAGGATGTTTTCCAAGATCGACAGCGAAGCCTGAATGACCTTGGGGTCCTGCGGTGTCGGCTGGTTGTTCACGTAGCCGGCAACCGTGTTGATAAACGGCCCCTCGAGGACGTCCCAGGACACGTTGCCGTGGTCCATTAGCTCGACGAACGACTTCAGCAGATAGGCGAGCATCTGCCCCTTGCACTTCCCACCGCTTATTAGGCCAATTATCAAAGACAAACCTTGTTTGTTTATGAATTCGAGGGCAAAGGTCACATCAGTACTCAATAGTGTAAGGTTTTCAAGGCTCACAGTCTTTTCCTCGGGGGTCCCAGTATGCAACACCTACAAAGAAAGTCTTTATTCAAACCAAGCACATAATATAAATATTTGTATCTAATTAATAAAAACAGTTATTCAGTGATTAATAATTTGTATGATTTTTAATTATAAATCAATAACTAATAAAAACATAATAAAAACAGTTATGTTTAAGGCGTATGTTTATACATTGCATAAATCTCTTTTGAAATTTGTATCACCATTAATTCTACAGTAACAACAAGTATGTATTTACCACAAATGTCTATTCATTTAATTACCACTGTAAAGTAATACTAGATCCTTTTTAGTAAAGCATTTATTATTTACACTTCTTGTCTTTCTTTTGTAAAATTTATTATTTTAATTAATAATGTATGTAAATTATTTTAATGTTTAATTTACATTAGGACTTTACATGCTTGACTTTAAACCCAATAATCAAGAACAAGTAAATTTCACATGGTGCTCATCCCCAAAATTTAAATGTCTAATTTCAGAAAACTCATACTACTACTATACACACTATACACACACACACACATATATATATATATATATATATATATATATATAATTATTAATTTTTAAGGGCGTTTTAACAGCTAAGGTCATTTCACGCCCTAGCAGGCAAACATTCAATGGTATAACAATTTGGGAAAAGGCCTACATCTCATTATAAATCCCAATAAATTTGAGAACGCTGAAAAGTGCTCTTCGAAAGAAACACTGGGGACCCAGTAACTCCTGTAAATCACTCGAAAGGTTGAGCCTTTGCCTAAAGGGTTGCAAAGTGCGACAGTCGACCAAAATATGTTTTGCTGTCAGAATGATACGTTCTCCACTTCGCAAACATCGAGGACAAGTTGGAAGATTGTTGCTTATTAAAAGCTTATTATGGATTAGCCTGATGTGACCCATTCGCAATCTAGAGAAAATCACAAGTTCTTTTCTCTCAAGTTCCTCAGTTTTTTTTTTGTTCCCCCCCCCCTTGGGATGCAGATGGTAAAAAGCCCGTGTAAAGTATGTCGGGTTCAAATGCAGGGCTGCTGGATTCAAACCTGGGACCTTTACCTTACAGCGATTATTGTTGGCTATTGTTATATTTTAAAATACATATGTCAATTTGTCTTATAAAAAAATTAACATACAAAACATTACATATTGCATATTCTAACCCGCCAAAAAATATTATTTAGATAGGAATGAGTTTATTTTATGACAAAAACCACTTTCATAAGGTCGATATCAGCAAATTGTTGCGGGATTTTCAGAAAATAAATTGTTATGCCTTTTATGATTGTTATATTACTTTATTTACACCTGTACCTGATTTAAAACTGTCAAGTACAATCTGTAAAGTCCTCCGATGTAAAAATAAATATGCTTTATTTTAATCATAATTTTACTAATATTGGTTTGTCCTTTGAAAAATGCTTTCCTCCAGTAAATAATTAATAAATTTTAGCTTAATAATTGTGGTTTTTAGGACCTTCGGTGACACTCCATACTGGTTTCGTTTGTTTGATGCATTTTGTCAATTTATGAACTTAACTAGTTGGTCTGTTTATTATTTTATCAATTGTACTTATTTTTGTTATGTGTTAAATGGTCAGTAGTGGAAGCGTGTGCTTGAACATTTGTAATATTTTTTTCCCCAAATTTTTCAGTTTTCTTTTGACATTACGTTGCATAAATTGTTGAGGTAGTGAGTTTAGGAATGAACTATTTTAGAAAAACACCTTTTTCATTGTTTTGCCAGCCAACGTTTTGACCTTTATCCAGGTATGAATTACAAAGCTTATGTTAATTGGAAAAAATAATTATAGAATGCAGAAGGAAATAATATAAATTTTAAACTAAATATTTCATACTCACATAGAGTGTGGTGTAATATTATTGTATTTACAAACATGACACTACAAGAATAGCACCACACTGTATGTAAGTATGAAATATTTGGTTCAAAATTTATATTATTTACATCAATATTCTATAATTATTTTTTAAATCAACATATGAAGGGGTCAGGGGAAAAACAGTACATCTCCATTTTTCTAAATTTTACAGGAGAGCAAAAAATCGATTTACCATTATGTTTGAAGCACTAGGCTGTTCTTAAAAATTTAATGAAAAATACAGCTATTAAATTTAAACACCTTTCACATCAAATCAAAAATTAAATATTGAAAATATTTTTGCAATATGGATAAATTTTCATTTGGAAAAACAAATCGTGTACTTAGCCTGTTTTTCCCCACAACGTTTCATATGTTTTGTAATTCACCCAGGCTCTGAAGATGACCCAATGAAAGGACGAAACTTTGGCAAAAAAATGTGTTTTTTTGAAATACTTCATTCCTGATGCTCCCCACAACTTAAAAAAAAAAAGTGTGGTGATTAGAGAACATTAATCGATAATTATTCAGAAATCATGAGATGCGGTCTGGTGTGAAGTAGGTTTCAGAAAAACATTTTCTTTATCGTGCCAACGTTTCGATCTTTATTGAGATCATCTTCAGGGCTCAAAGTGTTTGTCTTATGATTTAGGGTAGATGCATTAGTACACATGTTTTCATTAGGGAGAGGTAGTACCCTCGCTAATCATAGTTTATTATTCAGCAATTGTCAAATAGCTGCATATGTCTAGAATTAATACTAATGCATCTAACTGTGGGTTTCATGAATAATCTAGTTGTTGGTATAGTCTGAATGAAAAAAAAATGTTTTTCAACCTTTCGACCTATTTTCAGTTAATCATCAGGCAAAACAACTTTACGGAATGTCTATAAATTGACATAAATTTTTAGTAAATGGTTTCAAATTTCTTGTAAGACTCATTCCCAATGTTGCCAAGGACTGTGTACTTCACACTAACAGACCTGTCTCGTCGCCTCAACGTGTACCTTAAGTATACAGGTGGCTCCAGACACGCGAGATTCCCCGAATGCCGAGTAAAGGTTCGCCAAATTCTGTCCAGTGGGGAGGAGTGCTCATTTATTCGCCGAGCAACTATATTCAGTACTCGTCTAATTGTCGGTTTCCTTGTCTGCTTCAAAGTGCACAAATATTCATGAAGAAGCCAAACTTGAAGCATCCACACATGTAATTAACTGTACTGTACGTACATCAAATGTAATCATCCAATTCTATTTACTGCTATTTATTTTTCAAGAATAAACAATTCCTAACTGGTATAGATGTATTAATGACAACATACTGTTGTTACTGTTGGTTAGGAATGGATTCGTCCAACAGTCTTCCACAATCTGTATCAGCGTCTTCTCTTCCGAATCACAAAAATCAGAACAAGGTTTTTGATGCGAGGAAAAGGATCGAAAATAACATGAAGCAACAGTATTTTGGGACTGATTTGTGATCACCCATTACACAAAAACATTACCGCAGCTGCAGCAATGAAAATTTCACTGATGCCCATCACAATTGACAGTGCATTGAGGACTCGCACGGCACTTGGCAAATACAAATAAAATTGCACAAACTGGCTGGTTTTATGAACCCTGCATATGTATATACATAGGCATTCTATTTGGCAAATGCCAAAAGACTTGGCAAATGTTCGGCACCATCGGTGAATAAAACATCTGAAGCCAACTTATTGTGAACTTCGTATGTAAGGTAAACTCGGCTATGGTCGTTTTAAATAATCTGACAACTGCTCAGAGATATCTGCTCATGTGAATAAAGGCTGTGGAACAGACAATCAATGCTACATAAGTTTTGCCTTGCTTGTAACTCCATTATCCAGAAAAGTTATTGAGACGTTATGAAACATCATGAGCACCTGCAGTATGTCGCTGGCCGTCTTCAAGGGTGAAAACGTGAGCTTGAGGACAGAGCCGTTCTTGACTTCGTTTCTGTTCTTCTCCGTGATATAGTTTGAATTGTTCTTCTCTGAAAACTGCAGGGCGTATTGGTCCGGCTCTGAGAGGCCCCACCCGTTGCACAGCTCCTGGATGATGGACACCAGGGTCTGCTTCTGGTTGAAGACTATGAGCTGCGGCGTCTGGTTCACCATCTCGACGGCGATTTTCACCAGGTTCGCGTCTTTGGCCGCCGTCATCCTGATGCTGACGACTACAGCCTAGAAACGGAGGAAGAGGCAGGTCACAGGACGCAACCGATCAGTTTACAAAACACTTCCGATGACAACTAAAAATCTAAAACCTCTGGTCACCCGCCGAGTGCAGACGGCATTGTCATCAGGGCTTATCATAATTAGCACCGTCACAGTTTGGGTCTGGCACCCCACTTCGTTCCACTGTTTTGTTTTTTATACTGCAATTATAACATCATACAACAATCAACAAAAACATAAATATACAAAAAATTGTAAATATTCACAGATTTTACAAAATAACTAGTGTCTTGTACCAGTTTCAGATAATAAACACTACACAATTATTAGCATGTTTATAACATACCTTAGTTATAAAAAATAAAATTTCTACTGTTTTAAAGAATTTATGATCAAGTTTTTCTTTTTTAATTAGGCCAAAAACATCAACATTTATCATCGCCTTTGTACTACCAGTTGTTTATTGGAAATTATGGAAATTTATATAAGTTTATAAAGATTTCTCATTTTTAGACTTTCATTTCAAAGACTTGATCAATTTTTTTTCTGTTCATTCCCTAACATTTCTTTTATAGTCCAGGGGATTTTAGGGTAATGAGCCCTCCTCAGACAAAAGGAAGGAGGTGCAAGTACGAGTAATACATCTAATTGATCACCACGAAGGCAAGGCATGTTGGTGGTATAGATTTTTCATGAGGTGCCTGCGGGTCATATTTGTGTGCCCTATTCATAATCGACATAGTACGACCTAGTAACGCCTGGAAGTTTGGAAAGATGTTTCCCAAGGTTTAACAGTCTCTTTTATATTTTGTAATTTGTTGGAAGTGGTTTGTTTCCACTGATTTTCCCAATTTTCAATTAATTGTAGTTTGAAAGACTTTATATATTCAGGATTTGTTAAAACTGAGATGGTAGGATTGTTCTGTGCAACTTTGGCTGCGTTGTCAGCTAGCTCATTTCCCTTAATCCCGAAATGAATCCAAATGAAGGAAACAGAAGAGCCATTCGGAGATATTTTTTTAAGTTTTGCCAAATGTTCTGAACTAATGTTAGTAGTAACTAATACTATAATAATAGTAGTAATATAATATTATATAATAATAATAGTAGTAACTAATACTATAATAATAGTAGTAATATAATAATAATAGTAGTAACTAATACTATCTAACTAACCCCTACCATTTTTAGTATGAATGGTTATGTTTGTTTTTACATAGAGATTTATAAATTAGATAGATTTTTCTATTTTTTGCCTTTGCATTAGCAATTAGCTCAAGGAAATTTTTTGAAAAATGAGATATACATCTAAATATAACTATGAAATAAATATAAATACCCTAAGATATACATATACACTCCCAACTTCATGCCATTTGTAAACATCTTCAGGGCTGAGTTAGTTTACAATTTCTTTATCAGGTACATATGTAGATGTTTATAAATCCGTGATAATAAATAAATAATATATAAATAACAACAATTAAAATATCAAAAATACTAAAAACACTAATAGATAAATTATTTTTCACCAATTTAATAAAATAAATAAAATAGCGGAATTTTTTAAAAAGTACCAGTACATGTTCAGAATACCCTTTTGTAAAACAACATACATATTTTATTCACCAATAAATAGAATAATGAAAAAAGGAAATAAAATATGTTCAAATATGAATTTTTTTCAACTAAATTTTAATGCATTTAAACATAAATTAAAGGCGATAATTTTAGAGATTGTTTTGAAATAGATATAGTTGTATTACATAAAGTATAATTCTTCTATTATATAAAATATTATATATTACTATATAAAAATATTTATATAGTTTATTGTTTTTTTATTATTGTTTGTTGTTGTTTTGTTCTTTTAAAAATTTTGTTTATGTACTACTTTAATTGTTAATAACCTTGTAATTTATACTATTTGTAAAAGCATCCATATATTATTACTATTATTTTTTTATTAGTTTTATTTTAAGTAAGGAGAAAAAAATATATACAATACAATGATTATAACTAACTCAACATTAATAAACACTATACTATACATAAATGAAAAAGACTATAAAATCCTCTTAAATAAAATAACAAAGATTTAATTAACGCCCTGTCTATATAATTATAACGACTAAGAATTATAGAAAAATAATATAATAAAGCATTATAACTACTTACATAGTACATTTTTTTTACTAAATAAAATTATTATGCTTTAAGTAACTATCGTTTTAATGTGGATCGGAAAATTAAATAAGGTATCATTCTATCATTATTCAATGCTTCGGGGAATTTAATGAAAAATTTGTTCTTTTATATTCAATAAAAAATATTTTCACATTTCTGAGGTGGTAAGTACATACAATTGGAGTTTACCAATGATTTCTGAGAAATCCATACAATAATATTAATTAATATGAAAATAAAAATAATCTCAAAATACTTGTATGTATAAATAAATAAACATTGATGGATATATTTTTTTGCAGATAAATTAGTATAAATATTACCTTTCATCCCTGATGTTATTCATGTTTAATTACCATAATATTAATTGGTATTTTTTTTTTATAAAGAACTAATTTTTAAAATAGGATTAGTTCTTTATTCTTTAGTATGTTTATAAACGCTAAATTTTTAAAAAATTGAAATGTACGTAATTTATTGAAAAGAAAAGAAAATCATGATGCTGTAGTGATCCTAGCTTTTATGAAAACTTGTTAGGCAGGATTTTTTACGTTTTTAATAAGATATAATTTTGCAAAAGTTTGATTTTTATTTATATATTTTTACTTTTGTTCAAGGAAAATGAAAAATTTATTTATACGAGAGCGTGGCAGGCTCGACGTCATAAAACGTAGCGCTACTCGACGGACGTTGCTTGCCGACGAGTCTACTAGTGCTTTTCGACCTTGCTTTTTTTTTCAATAAAGTTTAACATTGGAAAAATGTAATCCTTTTAACGTAAAGAAAAGATCGGGGAAGAAATTTCTCAATGAATATTGAATAGTCAACCCTCTGTTGGGGCGATCTTCGTCCACTTTGGTACGTGCACAATGGATGTCCATACAACTGAGTTATGACTGCTGACCCGACGACACTCAAGTAATTTTTTTATGCCATTCAACTTATTAAAAGATTTAAGCATTTGTCAATTATTTATTTTTAAGCTCTATTGTTCTCAAGACTGAAGGACTTTGGTCTTTACCTTTTTGGTATAATGCTTATTTTCATTTATTTTATTTGCTCAATATTGCTTATTTTATTATAGAAATATTAAAATGTTATTCCTTGAATATTCGTTATAACAGTTACATTTAAAAAAATTAACTTTAATTAATTAAAATTTACTTTTGCATCACAGTACTTATAAAATTGTTTAAATTTATTTATTGGTTCAGCACAGAAATCCAAAATCTTTTTTTTTTTTTACAAAATAAACTAACCACCATTAAATTTTAAGTTATTTGGGTTTATTCATATCAAAAATAGGGTTAGTTGTAAAAATAAGTAATTTAAAAATAAAATGTTTATTACTAGTTAAAAAGAAAATTATTAAAACTTATTAAAAAATTATTAAAATTATTAAAGCAAGTGTTGAGTAAAGAATTTTTTTTTTGTCGTCTTTAATACTGAGTATTTCCACCCCAGGCATGAATCAAGTCTGTTTTCCTTTGCATTCCTTAGAAACGATTTCTGATAAAATCATGAGGAATTCTTTCCCATTCATCGAGAACAGTTGTTCAAAAATTCCAGCAAAAATGAAATTCATTTGATATTATTCTTATTTCAATTAATTAATCTGTTTATGTAAGGTTTGGGTTGAAATGAAAAGGAGGGAAAATTCGAAAGGTTGTAAGAGTGGATCAAAGTCACAATAGTTCAAATGATAGAGCAGTGGCGTATTGAGCCGAAGGTCGTGGGTTCGAATCCCACTCGTGACACTAGCTTTTTCATTTCAACCAAAACCCAACATAAAAAGATTAATTAATTGAAAGATATAATTTGGTCAATCAGACCACTAAATAAAATGAATTTAATATTTCATTAATACATAATATAAATAAATAAATGGTAGTAGTTTTTAGTTGAGGTAAAAAAGTCACGATAGCTCAAGTGGTAGAGTAGCAGCATATCTAGCCGAAAGACGTGGGTTCAAATCCCACTCGTGACAGTAGCTTTTTAATTTCAACCAAAACCCAACATAAAAAGATTAATTAATTGAAAGAAGTCAATCGGACCACTAAATATAATGGATTATTTATATTCTTAAGCCTTTTTCAATGGCTCTAGAGTGAGTATGACAGTCAAGGTCATAACATTGTTAGAGAAAGGATGCAGCAAGCAAGAAGTCACCAGGAGACTTGAGTGTAAATCACTCAACAATAGGAAGGGTCAGAGAAACAGGGCTTCTCACCAGAAGCCCAGGACAGAGCCAACCTAGGTCTACAGACCAGAGAGACGATAAGTTCAACCATCATTAGGCTGTATGAAACCGCAGCATTAGGGGAAATGAGAAATCTGATAAGACAAGTCTGAAATGTTTTGATTTCCTCCAGGACTGTAAGAAGAAGGCTCAATGAAAATAATCTCATGGCCCATCTCCCGGCTCGTGGACCTCCAGGTGGCAATTTGCCCAGGAACATGTGAATTGGACATTGGAAGTTTGGGGACGAGTTCTTTTTACAGATGAGGCAATAGTTGGCATGGTGGGCATAATTTATATGGAGACACTCAGGAGGAAGGTCATGCTGTATGTTTCCTCAGGTGGCATTCCACAGTGGTCATTGATGTTCTGGGGTGGGATTTCCTTGAACATCCACATCAAATTGGTTGTGCGAGGAAGATCTCTGACTCCACAGAGGTACTTACAAGACATAATCAAAGAACATGTAGCGCCATTTGCCCCCCACATCGGTGAAAGATTCTTTCTACTGCAGGATAAAGACAGGCATATAGCACATATGTGGATAACTATCTGAATGAGGTTGGAATTGAGTGAGAGAAATTGTGGCCAGCTCGAAGTCCAGATTTGAATCCAATTGAACACACTTGGGACAAACTTAATTGATGAGTATGATGGCAAAACCCATGTCCTAAAACCCTAAAACAGTTAAAAACGGCCGTTCTTGATGAATGGGAAAAAATTCCTCATGATTTTCGGTGTGAAATATCAAAAATGTTTTTTAAGGAATGCAAAGGCATTTAACGGATGTGATTCGTGCCAGAGGTGATTACTCGGTATTAAAAAGGATAAAAAATTGTTCTTTAATATTTTTCTTTGTTTTTGAATTTTTTTTTTTACTCAATAATTGTTTAGAATTAGGTGATGAACATTTTCTTTTTAAATGTCTTGTTTTTATTACTAAACCTATTTTTGGTAAATTTCATATGGAGATGGTCAGGAGAAAAGTATGCCTCATCTTGTATGGTGCCTCAGGTGGTATTCCACAGTGGGCCATTGATGTTCTCAAGCGGCATTTTTTTGGTTGTTGTGCGAGGAATATCACTAACTTCACAGAGGTACTTACACCTCTTACAAGGCATAATTGAAGAACATGTATTGCCATTTTTCCCACCACATCGGTGAAAGATTCTTGCTAATGCAGGATAAAGTCAGGCCCCATAGAACACATATTGTGGATGACTACCTGAATGAGGTTGGAATTGAGTCCTCGGTGTGGCCAACTCGAAGTCCAGATTTGAAGCCAATCAAACACATTTTGGACCAACTTAAACAACGAGTAGGATGATTAAACCCAGCTCTTAACACTCTAGAAGAGTTGGAAACTGCTGTGGTTGATGAATGGGAAAGAATTCCTTAGGATTTTATCAGAAATCTTTTTTAAGAAATGCAAAGGCATTTAACGGATATGATTCGTGCCAGAGGAGGAGATAGTATAATTTTTTTTGTAATTTAATTTTTTTAAAGAATTAGGTAATGAACATTTTCTTTTTAAATGTCTTATTTTTACAACCAAACTTGTTTTTAGTATGCAAAATATGAATAAATGGCAAAAAGGAGGGAAAATTCAAAAGGTGGGGTTGAGATGGGAAGTTAGTGTCCGAGTGGATCGATGTCACGATAGCTCAAGTGGTAGAGCAGCGGCGTATCTAGCCGAAGATCGTGGGTTTGAATCCCGCTCATGCCATTGACTTTTTATCTCAACTAAAAACCTTAATTAATTGTAATATATTAATTGGTCAAGCGGACAACAAAATTAGTGAATATGAATAAACCTAGATAGATTCAAATTTAATGGTGGTTCATTAATTTTGTCCAACAGTGTATTTGCAATTCAGTTAATATTGTAAAAGTAATCAAAAAATCATGTATATTTAATTTTATTACTTTGTAATTAATATTTTCTTTTTTGTAGCTGTTTTCAATTTAAAAAGTACCCCAACTTAATTAAAGCAAAAAGGAAATTGAAAATGAAAGTTTAATATAGAAGTAAATACTTGAGTCGTGTATGTTTTGTCGGCCAGCCATGGATTTGTCGACCAACACCAGGCCGCTCCTTCAAAAGAGTGACACTGAAAGCGATTTTGACGAAGATCCAATAGCAATAAGGAAGGAAGATGAAGAAGTCAACATCAAGGATACAAGACCTCTTTTCAACGTGTGGGAACCATTGGACAGGTGAGGTTTTTTACTATTTGGCCTGGTCAGTTTGAAAAATTGATTGTTTTAAGGTACAACATTGGCTATTTGATATTCTACATTCTGGGCACGATAATCCTCCTGCCGTGGTTTTTCTTCATTACTGCTGAAGAGGTGATTTTTTTTTTAAATTTATTAAAATCATTCTTATGTCTAGGTTTTTTTTTAAAATGTTCCATTTGGAAGTATTTTGTGTTAAAAGTTAAAAAGTGCCTATTGGAATTAGTAATGAAATGTTTTATTTCCTTTTCAGTATTGGATGTATAAATTTCGTGCATTAAATGCATCGATGATCTTGAACGAGAGTGGAAGATCAAAATTGCAAGCTAGCTTCACTCCTTACATGACTCTCGCTTCTACAGTACCGAGCACTCTGTTCTTAATAATAAACCCTGTTATTAACCACAAGTAGGTCGTTCATCTTTGAATACTAAAAATTGTAGTTTTAAAAATGTTCAAATTGCAGAATTTCATTGAACATAAGGATGTATGGTTCTCTTTTGACCATGCTTGTGCTTTTTATCATTACGACCATTTTTGTAAAAATAAACACAGATTCATGTAAGTTTTTATAATAAATATTTTAAAAAATTACCAGATTTAATTTTTTCAACAACTTTTTCAGGGCAAGAAGAATTTTTTCTGCTTACGCTAGGCATCGTAATAGTTTTAAACAGTCAGTTTATTTTAGCTAAAACATGAATATTTAAAAGATTATTACTTTCCAATGGTTTTTAGTTGCAAGTGCAATACTTCAAAGTGCGGTTTTTGGAGTAGTGGGTCGTTTCCCGTCTAAGTACATCTCAGGGACGGTCAGCGGTCAGGCTCTTGGCGGAATAATGGCAGCAGTAGTAGAAATAGTTTCATTATCAGTTGGCGTATCCCCAATTGTCAGTGCTCTCGTTTATTTTATCATGGCAGATGTATTCATCATAGTAGCTATATTTTCTTATATGTTCCTTGCCTCTACTGTGAGTTGTTTTTAAATATTTACATTCGTATTATTAATTTCATCATTTATTTATTTTCTTCTGTTTCAGATATTTTTTAAATATCATAGTAAGGAACTGCCATCACAAGGATCAATCCAGTATGAACCGGTTTTAAATAATGAAACCAGTCCCCCCATTGTGAGGGATATTTCTTACTTAGGTATCTTGTCAAAGGTAAATTATTATATATAATAATGTTAAATTATTATAATGAAGTGAATTATCTAACAGAATTCACTAATTATATTCATAAACTATATGCCATTATTTTAATTGTTATTTAGCATTTTTCAGTTAAATGAAACTTTTTTTTTTCAATCAAATGAAACCTTTTTCCAACCAAATGAAACTTTTTTTTTCAACCAAATGAAACTTTTTTTTTAATCAAATGAAAATAAGGGCATCGGTGGACGCAACGGTTTAGGCGTTTACACGGCGTTCATCACTGTAAGGTCAAGGTCCTGGGTTCGAACCCAGCGGCCCTGCATTCAAACCTGACATACTTACAAATGGGCTTTTTTTCAAAAACACCGGCACCCTGAGGGTTTATATAACTTCTGCTGTGGCTAACCCTTGTAAAAAAAATAAATCAAAAGAAAACTTTTTCCTAAGCAAATGAAACTATTTTTAGTGCCTTTTTTGTGTGGTCATTTAAAATATTTTTTTATTATTCTTATTTTAACATGTACACTTATTCTAAGACGGGGACTGGCTTACAGTAGTATGTATAGCATTTTTCAGTCAAATGGAACTTTTTTTTCAAACAAATGAAACCTTTTTCCAAGCAAATGAAACCTTTTTTCAAGCAAATGAAACTTTTTCAATCAAATGAAACCTTTTTTCAAGCAAATGAAACTTTTTTCAATCAAATGANAAGTTTCATTTGCTTGAAAAAAGGTTTCATTTGATTGAAAAAAGTTTCATTTGCTTGAAAAAAGGTTTCATTTGCTTGGAAAAAGGTTTCATTTGTTTGAAAAAAAAGTTCCATTTGACTGAAAAATGCTATACATACTACTGTAAGCCAGTCCCCGTCTTAGAATAAGTGTACATGTTAAAATAAGAATAATAAAAAAATATTTTAAATGACCACACAAAAAAGGCTGTAAATCGGAAGGGATAGGAACACTGTGATGTCCCTACCAATCTGGGAAACATAACTCTGCAATAATTAAGCAATTTGTCAAAGAGTGTCACAGCACAGAAGAGAGTGACGTGATGGGAAACCTGACCCAGCAATAATTACCCAGTTAGTCAAATAAATAATAACGTTGAAGGTGTCACAGACCCAGACGGGAGCCATGGGATGTTTCTCATGAACCTGGAAAACATAAAGTTGCAGTAGTTGGACAACTGATCAAATAAATAACTAGCTTAATTCATATTTGCTTACTGGCCATAATTGACCATATTAATTATTCCAATTAATTATTCTTTTTTTCCAAGGTTTTTGGTTGAGATGAAAAATTAGTTTAATGAGTGGGATTCGAACCCACATCCTTTGACTCAATATGCCGCTGCTCTAACCACTCGTGACTTCGATCCCCTCGGACACCAATTCCTCATCTCAACCATTCAAATTTTCTCCAAGTGGTCTATGGGCTGTTAAACCTGTAGTCATTACCAATCATTTTGGACTGCCTGTCCTTTCTGATTTGATATCACACGAATTTCGCCATTTTCAATGCTCGGTTTGTGGCCCAGACCTAACTCTGAAATGGCGGGTTGCTGAAACGCGTCAGAAAGACCAAACCAGGATAGGTAGACAAATGGTTTTTTGTATAATTATATTTTTTATATTTCAATACATTAGCATCATTTGATTTTTTTCCACTAGCTTACATCAAAAAATGTAATAACTGTGATTTTCAGATATGGGTGCTTGGTATGTCCCTTTGGTATTGCTTTGTTGTAATGTTCAGTGTATATCCCTCAATAACTGTCTTAGTGAAATCCATGGACACTAGAAGCACACCTTGGACAGGTATCTTAAAATGAAATTACTTATCAAACAATTTTATAACATGTCATAATTTTCCAGATATTTATTTTGTACCAGTTGTGACATTTCTTTTATACAGTGTGTGCGACTACAGTGGAAGAATCATATCAGGCTACTTACAATGGGTAATGTTTTATTTTTTTAAGTTATACCGTGACTTTTTTTTTCAATTTTTTTATTACTGATTTTCAGCCAGAAAAAAAAAGTTGGATTATCGCTGTGACAAGCATTGTAAGGACAATATTCATTCCTCTTGTCATGTTCTGCAATGCACAACCTCGGCAGAACTTGCCTGTTCTCATATCATCAGATCTAATCTATATCATAATTATTATTATTTTTGGTCTGTCTAACGGATATCTAGCTAATATAACATTCATCTCAGTTCCTAAGTACTGTAAATTACTGTTGTTGCTTTGTGCTTATATCTTACATTTTTGTCTTTTTGTTTTTAGAATTGTGGCTTCTCACGAACAAGAAGTAGCTTCAACCATGCTAGCAGCTTTTCTAGGAGTCGGCATCGCTTGTGGCTCATGCATAAGTTTACTCTTTGTTAAACTGCTATAAGAATACTAAAGCATCCTTTAGTATACATATTTTCTTATTTTTTCTCTAATTTTAAATCTATTATTTTACTTATTTAAAATAAATTGTGGAATGAAGAAATATGTTAGGATGTGGCTACATAAAGAACACAGTTATTTTTAGAATCATTATTTTTTTATTTATATAATGCGATAAAAATTTATTTTCTGTTTGTGTGAATAGTATTAAAACACGATTGTATATTAATTGAAAATCAGTGCACTTGCACTAGGATCACAATGTGATAGGAAATAGCATGAATTAAACCGCAAAATTTTAAACTGATGTACATATAAAATTACCTCTTGTCTTAGTAGGGGAAATTGGGTTTTAATTTATTTTATATTTATTACAATTTTTAACTCATTCGTTACAGGCGTTTTTTGACACAATATCCATATGTGGGGAAGGGTCTATTATGCTGTACGAATACGACACTTCTTCTAGAAAACCTCCCGTTTCAAAGCTTGTTACAGGCTGTGGTGGTATTTTTTCGAATCGAATTAGTTTCACAGACCTTTAGTATTGCTTTAACAAGTTGTTTTGAAGACCACTTTTCGATTTGATCTTTTGAACATTTTTACAATAAATAAATAAATTTTTTTCCCCGTAAGTAATTTTTTTTTTATCATGTCATACAAAAATGGTAAAACCTTTTTTTATCTATAAAATACTTTCATTTGACCATGTCAAAGAAATTTCTTTATTCATTTTTTGGCATTTTGCTCCCTTGGGGATTTTTGTTTGGTTTATTTTTTTATTAATTGTAAATAATTAATAAATATGTAAGTATTTTGTAAATAATTGTTAATAAGCAGAAAATATGGAAACAATTACTGAATTTATAATTAGTTGAAAATTTTTTACCAAAAGAACAGATTTTTTTAATTTTATTAATATGCTTTGAAAACATTTTATCGAACATGTATAAATATTACATGTTAATTGTTTTACAATTTATTTTAACTGTTTTAATTATCTCAAATAAATTTGATGTATAAATAATAGATTTAAAGTAAATGCAATGTAAATTTAAATTTTTTATTAATTTATATACTACCTCATCATAATATTTTTAAAAATTGATTAATGATTGTACTTAAATAATGAGTGGAAACAGTAGATTTTGCTGGTTTGCCTGACTTGACCTTCCCCATATAAGGACATCGTACAAGAAAGTCGTGCCCAAAAAAAGGCAATTTGTTAAAGAAAATTTGAATTAAGTCATTTATCAACCTAAATAGATTTTAGATCTGTAAAAAAAAGATTTCTGTATTTCAGGAGTCTCTGTACAAATCAGTAATGAATGTGGTAAATGCGACACGTTTAAAAAGAATTTCTGTTAAACTGAAGTAAATCCTTATTGCTATTGTGTTCCTACATTCCAATTCAAATGATCTAAATGATTAATCATCTCATTTTTGGAAACTTTTAGAATCTTGTAATGTTTATATTGATGCACATAAAATTAAAAATGAATCGTCAAAAACAAATTTTAGTATGATTTTTGTGCTGTTCTAGATGTAGTATGACATTGTTTTCCTTTGGAATCTCACAACACAGCTTTCTAACATTTTAAACCAAGTGTATCCATTATCAAAGTAATGATTTTAAGGTTGTATTTAATTTTAATATTAGAAGTATGTAAAAAAGGTAATTTAAAAAGTTTTTACTTGTCCTTATAGTGTTACAGATTTATTAGTAAAACAATATAGATTATTTTATAATTTAGTTTTCATCATAGAGTATTTGTTTCTGTGATATGTTTTTATATTTATTTTTATAAATATATATTTTCTTTGTTATGTGGTATTTCATTCTAACATGTTTCTCATGGTTGTTTCAATAAATCCTTTGTAGAATGGATGTTCTACTTAAAAGAACTATCGGATTGTTCATGATTCAAACACTGAAAATAAATTAGGTTTGGGGGAATTTCAATTCAAAATCGTTTTTATTTACCATTATTGTTATATAAAAGGGATTATTTTTTATGGTGATACCAACTTGATAATTTATGCAAATACAAGCAAAAACAGTAATAGCAATAAGAAAAATGCAATTTTAAATAATTTGTTTATCAATCATTTTGTACTGAAACAATTATCCCCAGACTCTGACATTATTATCCCAAGAACATGTTGAAACGCCTATCCCATTTGGTGCCACGCACAATGATGTGACACGGTTCTCATGACCACTGAGAATTCCTAAAATTAAGTATTTTTGTTATAAAAATATTAATATTTACTAACATTTGATTACCATTATGTTCCATTTTAAGAGTATCCCATATGTGAACATTGTTATCATCAGAACCGCAGAGGATGAATCTTCCTGAGAGAGACAAGCCACAGGATGTGAAACTAGGACTGACCCCAAGGGGCTTGTACACTGCGATTTGCTGATCAGACCTTATATCAAAGAGGCGAGCCGTCTTGTCTTCAGACGCCGTGACGAAATTGTACCCATTTGGGTGAAACTGTAATTTTGACATATTACTGAACGATCCTAAGTCATCTTTTTAATAAGCGTACACAAACTGCATTGACATCGGCTTCATGACCGAAGAAGACCTGCTTGCATTCACAATCTTTAAAATTCCAGAGCTTACATGTTTTATCGACACTTCCCGTTACAAACTGGTTCATATCAGGAGATAGCGATATGCTCACAACATCGCCAGCATGACCTTCAATCTCAGTTGTCCTTTTACCGGTTGGCAAATCCCAAACACAGCTGTAAGATATTCGACGATAAAACTTGCAAAAAGTCAACGTATAACTCTAAAAATAAAGAACTATTTTTCTGTTTTGCTTACATTTTCATATCTCCAGAGCCTGTAATCAAGGTGTTGTCATCTACAAATCTACAAGATGAAAGGAATCCTTCATAGCCCATCAGTTCCTTTGTAATTTTAGCAATCCCAGACGCATCCCTGTTGTTCAGATCATAGACAGTACACATGTTATCCATACCTCCGCAGGCTTTTAGAAAAAGATTAAAACTTTGATAAACGAATTTATCTAAAATAATGAGACAACATAGATAAATATATATTTGGACTCACCAACAAAGCTTCCTGACTTTGCAAAAGCTACAGTCATCACCCAGGATGACCGCAGTGGTATAACTTGCACTTTGTTCCCTGTCCAAGTGTCCCATATTATTAATTTTCCATCCAATGATCCAGTGACAATATGCCTAATTTAAACAAATGTTGGATGATTGAATATTTATTTGTAAATTTGAGCAACAACATAATTTGTATTAAATTCACTAATTTTATGGTCTGCTTGACCAATTAATATATTACAATTAATACAATTTTACAATTAAGGTTTTTAGTTGAGATAAAGGGAAGTTGGTGTCCGAGTGGATCGAGGTCATGATAGCTCAAGTGGTAGAGCAGCGGCGTATCTAGCCGAAGATCGTGGGTTCGAATCCCGCTCGTGCCATTGACTTTTTTATCTCAACTAAAAACCTTAATTAATTGTAATAATTTGTATTGTTATGTGTATACATTGTACAGTTATTTGTTTATGTGTGTCATTTAATGAAATTAATTATCAAGTCTTGTAATTATAATTATGGCCTTCTTTTTCTTTTCTTTCTTATTTTCCATTTTTTATCATTTGTACAGTGTCAGTTGTTAGGACTAACAAATGATACAATACAAATGATGATTATTAAACCAATAAAATTTACTATTGTTTATATTTCGATTTCCTTTGTAATTACACAAACCTGCTGTCACCGCTGTAGTGAACGCAGTTCACTTTGTTGATATGCCCCTTTAGCATTCTTTTTGTTGTCAAGCGTACTTTTGGTGCTGTTGCAACGCTGGAGCAGACATCTTCCATTTTTGCATCTGCTACTTTATTCTGATCATCCTTCAAAAGAAACATTTATAATAAAATGTAATCTATGCAAGTCTATATTATTTTGTGTAATGTAAAAGGATATTTAAACAAGAATGAAATACTGAATGAAATTCCGGAAAATAGATGTTTTCCAGAAGGAAATCCCCATTACAATTGTGGCGGTTGCCCTCATTAAGGAGAAAAAGAAGAATCTGTTTTGCCTTCCAGTTGTAGATGGCATTTGCAACACACTCACTGAAGATGGATTTATGTAGAATATTGGTTATGTACATAAAATGGAACGAGTTCAGGCAGGTCTGCTGAGGAGCGACAAAGAATTATGAAAAAGGGAGTGGGCCAGGATAAAGATTGCGCCTTTACGAACCATTACAATTAAAGTTAGTTTAGAAGAAATATGCTTAAGACTAAAATATTTATGCAAAGTGAAATTTTGATCACTAAAAATTATTACAAGCATAGGCTACCATGATAAAAAGACAATGACATAAAATTAAATCACTCTCTATCTCTATTTACCTGGATAGGATTGAGTGTCTGATCAAATAATTGATTATGTTGAAAATTGATTTAAACAAATTTCAATCAGGTCATCACAAAATTCCAGTACAGCACTATTGAAACTGACATATGGAGGACTATTGACATTTTTAGTTGACTTTTTGAAAGCCTTTAAATCGGTGAATAATTGTTAACTTGTGCATTTCTTGAAACAGTTAAATTTTTCAATTCAAATGGTTTGAATCATACCAAGGAGGCAAGTGTGATCGAAGCAAACGGATAGACATATTGGAAACCTGTTAAGTCTGATATACAAGGGATTGTCTTGTTAAATATTAATCCATTTACGTTTTAGTGGTCAATTGACCTAGTTACTTCTTTCAATTAATTATTCTTTCTTTGTAAGGTCTTGGTTGAGATAAAAATGTCAGTGCCACAAATGGGATTCGAACCCACGACATTCGGCTAAATACGCCGAATACTTGATATATTGTCTTGGGTCCATTTTTATTTTCAATCTATAGTTATATAAATCTGCTTTCATAAAATATTATATGCACATGACTTCCAGGTTTACCCTCCAAATGTCATTTTCTGAGTTAGAGAATTGTATTACGAAGGTGAATTGGAATTTAAAAAGTATTTGCCAATGAGCTGATGGTAGGAACTGGTCTTTTCATGTTTAAAAAATGAAGGTTATAGTTATTAAATTCACTAATTTCGTGGTCCGCTTGACCAATTAATATATTACAATTAATTAAGGGTTTTAGTTGAGATAAAAAAGTCAATGGCACGAGCGGGATTCGAACCCACGATCTTCGGCTTGATACGCCACTGCTCTACCACTTGAGGTATCGTGGCCTCGTGTATCTCAAGATGAGGTCACGATAGCTCAAGTGGTAGAGCAGCGGCGTATCAAGCCGAAGATCGTGGGTTCCAATCCCGCTCATGCCATTGACTTTTTTATCTCAACTAAAAACCATAATTAATTGTTATAGTTATTGGTAGCTCCCAGTAATTAATAACATTAATTTGTTAGATTCTATGAAATGTCTGTTCACGACAAGTGAGTGTAATAAATATATTTATCAACTGAAGAATATTGTGCCATTTGAACAAGGAAAAAAGTTGTTTTCTTCAGTTGTAATTTCATATCTGGAATACCGTCTTGTTGTGTTGTCCTTGTTTCGACTTATTTTTGAAGTTTCAGATGTGATATATTACTCCACATTACCACCGGCTGAGATGGCGTAGTGCTGAACATAGTAGATGCTGTTTTATTGTCCACTTGTATAAAATTAGAAATACAAGTCTCCAAAAATTTGTATTCTCTTGGTATATGAAAAGAATATGCTAGAATAAATTTTAAAAAAATTCATTTTTTATTGAATTTAAAAAAAAAAATAGTTTGTGCCAAAACTTGTTCTGTTCAAAATAACAAAATCCAAATTTTCTCTTTAATGCCTAGTTCAGTTTTGCTCATTGTTTTTGTTGTTCCAGTTGTAAAAAACTTTAAAAGCTTTTTCTGTTTCCTGCAAAGGAATTTATGATGGGACCAATCAGTTTTGACACACACTAAGGGATTGGCTTTACCACTAATTTTTTAATAATTATAATTTACAAATTATAATATTGAATGTTCATATTAACTAATATAACTAATAAATATTATTATTATTAATATTAAAAAAATCCATCTACGTTTTCGTAGGCAATTGACCAAGTTACATCTTTCCATCAATTAATTATTCTTTCTAAGGTCTTGGTTGAGGTAAAAAAGTCAGTATCACGAGCAGGATTTGAACCCACGACCTTCGGCTAAATACGCCGCTGCTCTAACTACTTGAGCTATCGTGACTTCAATCCTCTCGGACACCAACTCTCCATCTCAACCTAATTCTAACGGTTGTAAGTTGAGATGGAGAGTTGGTGTCCGGGAGGATCAAAGTCACAATAGCTCAAGTGGTAGAGAAGCGGCGTATTTAGCCGAATGTCGTGGGTTCGAATCCCATTTGTGGCACTGACATTTTTATCTCAACCAAGACCTTACAAAGAAAGAATAATTAATTGAAAGAAGTAACTAGGTCAATTGACCACTAAAACGTAAATGGATTAATATTTAATAAGTAAAAGAAGTATCACTTCAGTAAACAGCTCTCCATGGCCACTTCATAAGTTGCTGAGAATATAATCCTGATTATACGACATTTGAAAATGGCAAAAAAAGAGGGAAAATTTGAACGGTTGTAGGTTGAAATGGGAAGTTAGTGTCCGAGTGGATCGAAGTCACGATAGCTCAAGTGGTAGAGCAGTGGCGTATTTAGCCAAAGGCCGTGAGTTCGAATCCCGTTCGTGACACTGACTTTTTTATCCCAACAAAGACCTTAGAAAGAATAATTAATTGATTGAAAATTATTAAAAAATATACCTGACATTTCTTAATTAAATCTTCTAATTCTTTCTTGAGTTTTAGAGTTTCTTTGTCTTTAGGTGGCATCTTCCCTCACTTATGTAAATCGTGCTTTGAATGTACTTACTTCACAAATTTCTGCAGTGAAGTAGTAGCCGATATTCCGATGCTCAAGGAGTTAAGCCTATTTGAGAAACCCGATAAGCAACCTTTGTAATGTAGCCGCCTGTAATTGCATTAAGTGTTCAGAGAAAGAACATTTTTCCCCCCTGGAGATATTTTATGGTATTGCTCTTCAATGTAAAAATAATATTTAGATTCTCAATTAATTATACACAATTTTTCATTTCGAAAAAAATTGTGTATAATTAATTGAGTATTAATATAAGTGTATAATTAATAGAAGCTGATAAAATTTAGTATTAATTAGATAAAATTAGATTGTTAAAACTTTTTTAATGATAAATTTTTGTCATATATGTAGGGAATTAAAGGTCTCCCACAAATAAAAAGATAAAGATTTAAAGTTTATTGGTAAAGAACACATAAACAAAAGTAAAAGGATAACTAGTTAACATTAAAATACATTAGCGTAAAAAGAAACGTGTTCGTAGGACCGCGTGGTGGTAACAACTAAAACTGTCAGCTGGGGTCCAGATAGAGGGGAGAGACAGAGTTCCCGCCATGTAGGGCCTCCGTTGACGTAGTGGCGGTGAACATCCTACATATATGGCATTATGATCATTTGATTTTGCTGTGTCTTATTAAAGAAAAAAACTGAAAATTTTCTTCCATTTGATTTTCTATTTTTGATAAGAAGTTTTTTTAACTATTATTCATTCATGAAAAATTAATTGCAGTATTAATGTTTAATGTTATTATTTTGGAGTATTAATTGCTCAATAATCCATATAATATAGATCATCTTTACATTAAATATGACATATCCATAATATGAAGTTACATGCATTTTCATTTATTTTTTATATTTTATTAATTTTTACATATTATTTTAAAAATCTACATGTAAAGCTATTTTTTAAGTTTTTGCTTTGCCCATAAGATCTTTTTTGTTCATACACCTCCTACTAATTTTCAACATTCATCAAATATAACAATAAGAATTGATATTACAGTGTTACAAAAATTGAATTTTTATATTTTTGTCAGCATTTTATTGATCCTGATCATTTTGGTGTGTGTTAACATAAGCATCAGAATTATTTAACACCTCTTGGATAGTAAAATTGATACCTTTTGTCATATTCAGTGTACGGTTTTAAACTATGTTCCTCACTGAAGATGGCATGAGTTGAAACATGTCGGAATGACATCTGAATCTGCGAAAGAGTAGACAGACCGACTTGAGTGATCAAGTGCTAATAAATTTAAAGTGTTCACCAACACAAATGCCAACAACCACCACAAATTTTAAACGGCGCTGATGGACAAACTTAGACATTACCCTTGTGTAGAAATGTGTGGTGTTTAGTGACCGTTAGTCGATGATTATTTAGAAATCGTGAGATGCGTTAAATTTAAACAATGTAAATCCCAGGCCCTGAAGATGATCTCAATAAAGATCGAAACATTGGCACGGTAAAGAAAATGTTTTTCTGAAACCTACATCACACCAGACAGCATCTTACAATTTCTGAATAATCATTAGACATTACCAATAAATTTTAATATAATTATTTATTATTTGCATATTTTGCTTACCAAAAATAGGTTTGGTAGTAAAAATAAGACATTTAAAAAGAAAATGTTTATTACCTAATTCTAAACAATTATTGAGTAAAAAAAATTCAAAAACAAAGCAAAATATTAAAGAACAATTTTTTATCCTCTTTAATACTGAGTAACCACCTCTGACATGAATCACATCCGTTAAATGCCTTTGCATTCCTTAAAAAAGATTTCTGATAAAATCCTGACGAATTTTTTCGCATTCATCAAGAACGGCCGTTTTTAACTGTTTTAGGGTTTTAGGACATGGGTTTTGCCATCATACTCATCACTTAAGTTTGTCCCAAATGTGTTCAATTGGATTCAAATCTGGACTTCAAGCTGGCCACAATTTCTCTCACTCAATTCCAACCTCATTCAGATAGTTATCCACATATGTGCTATATGAGGTCTGTCTTTATCCTGTAGTAAAAAGAATCTCTCACCAATGTGGGGGGCAAATGGCGCTACAAGTTCTTTGATTATGTCTTGTAAGGACTCCACGGCTCTTTTCAGTTTATTGGCTTTCAGCTTTGTGCTGATAGAACTTAGGAGTCAGAATGAGAGGGCATAAAAAAAATAAAAAAAATTAACATTAATATTAATAAATGACAATAATAATAATAATAATAACACATGCTCCTCACTCTCCCCAATCTTGTTCTTATTTGTTCTCTTATTAATTCCTTGTGTTTGACTGACGGTCGCATCTCAACCCCACCTGTCGCACTCTTCGTCACAGTGGACAATCAACTGTGTCCGAGATGGGCCTCGCAGAGGCGGCTCAAAGGTATGTTAAATATTCAGGTGGGGGAGGTATGGCCTTTCCTTTACTTGTTGATTCTTGCTTTTGTTTGGTTGAGGTAATCCTTGAGTAGCTTTGTAGTTGCTTCTTATGGTGATCTCTGCCTTCAGAAACTTAGCGGCGAAATGTGCCCCCAGGATGGGCCCCGCGGAGGCGTCCGGTTGGGACATGGGGGAAGAGCAATGATATGGCAATCTTATTAAGCTGTGTTAAGCGATGGTCTTGGTGCTTGAGCGGCGCTGCTTGCTAGGCCGGCCAGCCTTTTTGCTTCATCACGGCCCTCCAAAATTTTTGGGTGGCCTTAAACCCGGCTCTACTAGCAATCATACCCCAAAGTGAGTCCATGTTTGCTACGTTATAATTCGTTTCGTGTAGCCATCTCGTGCGAGGTATGATGTACATTTCGCACAATAAGGCTACATGGTCAGCCGTTTCCAGATCTCCACACGGGCATGATGGGCTGGGCTTCAGACCGAATTTAAACAATTTCGCCTAAAAGTCGCTGTGCCCAGTCAGAAGTTGCAACATCCAGTGATCTACACTGACATATCTTGTATCAAGTCGCCTTTCAACATTCGGGAAAATGGCGTAGGTATATCTACCTTTAGTCGACGTATCCCACCAGCGCTGCCACTCCTCCCGCAGCCATCTACTTGCATCTTGTGCGCTCGTGACAGGAATACTGGGTTGATGTCCATTTGCTATCTCCCAGGTGGCAGTCATAGCCCTTGCTTGTAAGTCCAGTGGTGGCCTTCCCGCTATGATTTGTAAGGCATCCGTTGAGGTTGTTCGGTAGGCTTTCGTTACGGCCAATAAAGCCGACCTCTGTGCACTTAAGAGTGTTGCCCAGTCTGCTGCTCGTAGCCCGCGCACCCACACTGGGGCTGCGTACAGCAGAACAGACTGGCACAATGCTGAGTAATACAACTGCCTGCTTTGGTATGAGACGCCCCACGCCGTGCCACTCACCACCCTTATGGCAGCAACTTGGGCTGGCTACTTCTGTGGAGTCAGAGATCTTCATCGCACAACCAATTCGATGTGGACGTTCAAGGAAATCCCACCCCAGAACATCAATGACCACTGTGGAATGCCAGCCGAGGAAACATACAGCATGAGGCAGGTGTACCTACCTCCTGAGTGTCTCCATATGAAATTATGCCCATCTGAAGATTTGAGCCAACCCTCGCCTGTAAAAAGAACTTGTAGCCAATTTTCCCATGTCCAATTCACATGATCCCATTATTAAGTAAAGGGAAAAAATGTTAAAAAAAAAATTATCCCCTTTAATACCAAGAATATCCACCTCTGGAACGAATCACCATATCTGTAAAACATTTTTGCATTACTGGATAAAGATTTCTGGTAAAATCTAAATATTTTTTTAAATACTAGATAAAAATATCCAGTATATAATATTATTGTAAGAATTTCCTAATAAAAATAGAATATGTAGAATCAGAAATTAAATATTTATAAGTAGAAAAAAAGAGAAATGAAAGAAGGATAGTAAAAAGAGGCAAGTTTTATTCCCAGGCATTGGAGATTATAATTATTACAACTTTAAGAGAATAAGTAAAAACAATAATTTATTGTTTTTGATAATATATTTCTAGATGAAGGTGGGAAAAACAGGAGTGCAGATGCAAATTCTCGTAAATGTAAGAAATATGCACTGACAAATTAAGATTTAAATATTTCTAAAAAAAATCAATTGATTCAAATGATCCGATCAGCAGTGCTATTTATAACCAATAATCAGTTATAAAACCCTGGTTATATAACAATTTTTTCTTGTTGAAATAGTTCTCTCAAGTTTATCAGTTGCATTAAAGTTCCAATCATGGTAAGAGTCATTTTGAAACATCAATATAAAATATTAATCTCTTTGTATTTAATTTACAATTTATTATAAAGAAAATAAATTATACTTTCTTTGATAATTCACACCATTATACAATTTTTTTTTAAAATATTTCTTTTTAGATATCGAATGTTATACTAATGTTAACTTTGTTGGGGATTTTGCTACCCAATTCTGTGGATATGTTTGATTATTTTGATCTTGGATATGGCGTTGATGACAGCACCCCTGTATTTCCAGGAGGGAAAAAGTTTGGGTAAATTGATTTTGTTAAATGGTAATATTTGGCGCATAAAACTAAACATATGTCTATGTATCTCAATCGAATCTGATCATTCTGGTCTACCAATAGATACATGTATTTTTTAGCATTTACACTTCCGTGAAAGCAATTACATTTCCATGTTATTTGCAAGTGTGCATACTTTCATACAAACCTTTTGCAGTCCTTCCAGGGACCAAACTGTTGCACAACTAAAAATTGCATGCATGTGCCTAGCCTAACAGGCAAATCCAGTATAAATTGGGAGATTGTTTTCTAGACCAGCCACCCATCATGGTGTATGGTACAAGCCTGTACGACCAAAATTGCCAGGATAGTAAGGCCAAAAAGCAAAATTAGAAATGTAAGACGAGAATGATTAGAGTTCAGAGATTATCACTCTATTAGTTCATAACTTTGCAGACTCCACTAATATTTTACTTCATGTCTAAAATGATTTTATTTGTTAATAACATATTAGATACACAAAACAATTTGCTGAATTTAATAATGGAGTATTTAAATCGTCGAATGACTTTGAGACAGGAGAGCACAGCGGAACTCACATCGACGCACCATACCATTTTAATCAAAATGGAATGAAAGTTGGTGAAATTCCACTTGAGAGATTAATTACAAAAGGTGAGAATTCAATTTTGACTTGGCTTTTCTGTTTTCCAAACAATTAATACATTTATAACAGGTTTTATTTTATTTGTGGAGTATCCAGAAATGTTACACTGAACACTGCTCGATACTCCACAAATAAGAATATAAAGTGTAAGTACCAGCAACAAAACAATAATACATATGTAAAATGTTTCAGCTATTTTTGTCAATGCATCAAATGAAACAGCAGGGAATCCAAAATATACTTTGCCTGCTTCTAAGCTGACCGCATGGGTTGAAAAGCATGGGCCGATTCCACAAAATGCAGTCCTTCTGATTAGTTTTGGATGGGGTTCAAGATATCCGGACATTCAGAAACATTACGGAGGGAGCAAAGTGGGCAACCTGAGCTATCCCGGTCTCTCTAAAGAGGCTGCCGAATGGATTGTAAACTCAAAAAAGGTACGCATTTATTTATCACATTACTTAGACTGAATTAACGATGTATTTTTGCAGTTTGTCGGAGTCGGAGTCGATACACCATCGGTCGACATTGCTGGTGCCGAAGAAGTGCATGTGGTACTCAACGGGAACAACATCTACGGTCTTGAGAATGTCAACTTGAACCAGGAAAATTACCCATGTATTTTCGATGTGATCGTAATGCCAATGAAGCTAATGAACGGTACAGGCGCACCTTGCAGGATCATAGGCAGAAGGGATCCACATGCAGAAATCTGCTGATAAAATCTCAAATATACAAAACAATTGCTATATCATTTATAAAATATACATTTACTTTTCATATAATATAAATAACTGAAAACTTGTGTGGTTTTTTTTACATTACGATTATCTACACTTGCTTTTAAACTGGAATTACAATATTTTTTTCTTTCTTGCATATATTTATTATGATAATAAAAATATATATATGTAAGGAGTTCAACAATAAGAATTCTTTTTGATAGTAAATTACAAATTACAATACAGTTCATTGTGTATTGGGCTCGTTCAGCATAAAAGACTTCACTTGCACAGCATGTGAAATGTAGTTGTGAACCTTATACATATTTTTTAACTCTGGGTTCATTCAATACCTCCACTAGAATTTCACTAGGCGAAATGGATTGACATAATTCGAACTCTCATAAACAGGGAAATGAAACAAAATATGCAAAAGGTCCTCTTTTGCAACCAGATTGCAGAGAGAGCAAAACTAAGATTGAACAGATTTTTCCATTTATAAATTACAAATTTTATACTATTACTGGAATTATAATACAAACTGCTCACAAATAATATATATCATTTGTAGTGTATTCTTATTCTGTTAATTTTAATTAAATTAACCAATAAATTCTTGTTAGTTGGGTAAAACAAAATAGAAAATACAAACCAAAAACAAAAAATTTCTTAACCCTCATTTTTAAAAATTGTCGTTTACTTAAGAATTCACTATTTTTCGTGGTCTGCTTGACCAATTAATATCATTCAATTAATTAAGGTTGTAAGTTGAGATAAAAAGTCAGTGTCACCTGCGAGATTCGAACCCACAACCTTTGGCTTTATACGCCGCTAGTCTACCACCTGAGCTATCGTGACTTGCTACTGAGTGGTAGAGTAGCGGCGAATCAAGCCGAAGGTTGTGGGTTCGAATTCCGCTCGTGACACTGACTTTTTATCTCAAATTAAAACCTTAATTAATTGAATGATATTACTTCAGAATAGTAAACATGAAGATTACTCATTTTGGATTGTATATGTATGTACTCATTGTATACAAACACCTTTTCTGTCTTTTCTCTATTTTAATCCAATTGTATTCTCTTTCCTTAATAGACTTTGTGTTGACATGGATGGTTTTCACCAAAGAAAAAACAAATTTTAAAGGATGGAATTTTCTTTTGGAAAATATCTTCTCCAGAAGAATGGATAGCCAGGTTTACCTAACTCTAGAAAAAAGAGTTCTGGAGTGGGTGTCATCGTTGTTCCCAGACGGTTACAATTATTTTTTCAATACAATGCACTCTGTCCTCTTCTTGAGTAACAAAACTTGGCTGAAATATGTCTACAAGTTTCTGAGTGGCCTTCATGCTTTCCTGACCTTGATCCAATTGAAAAATATTGGCATGCACTATCTGTAAAAGTGTATAGGAAGAGAGTGTACCACTTTGTTGAAGAATTAAGGCAGGTGATTTTGAAAGTGACTGAGGGGCAAAACCGTCTCCAACGAAGTGATAGTACTGTGTTTAACCAAGACAGGATTGTAAATACATGATGTTGTTAGAGCTCTTTTTTGAGCTCTACTACAAGCTCTCATGCCATACCTGGTTATAGTTTAAACAGGGACTATGACGACTCCTGGGCAGTACTGCTTCTGTTCATAGCAGAAAATGGATGCACAAACATTTGGGCAGTTAGAGATTATGTCGTTCATCAGTATGTGCATTCAAGAGAAAAATAATGGTTAAGAATTTGACCTGTTAAAAGACTGATTTAATAATTTAAAATTATAAGTATACACACTCTAAGAGTTGTTCCTTTACATATGTAAATTATGGTAATTTCAAGATATATTATTTTATTTGTGCTGAACAGTTTCATTTTTTTGTAATAGAGAGATAGAGAGAGGGAGAAGGAGTGATGGGAAGGGAGATAGAGCTGAGAAAGAAGAGTGAGAGAGAGAGATGGAATAGAAAAGTGTGAGAGAGAGAAAGAGAAAGGGAGATGAGACAGAAGATAGAAGAGAGAGATGAGAAAGAGAGAGGGCAAAAGAAAGAGAAATGAGATAGAAGATAGAAGAGGGAGTGAGTGAACAAGAGAAAGAGAGATGAGAGAGGAGATAGAAGAGATAGAGAAAGAGAGAGGGCAAAAGAAAGAGGGATGAGATAGAAGATAGAAGAGAGAGATAGAGATGAGATAGAAGAGGGTGAGAGAGAGAGAGAGAGAGAGAGAGAGGGAGAGAGAGAGAGAAAGAAAGAGAGAGAGAGAGAGAGAGAGAGAAAGGGAGATTAGATAGAAGAGAGAGAGAGATTTCTTATTGTATGAAATAGTGTATAGTAGTAGTATTAATAATAATAGACAAGTCTACAACGGATCAAATCAGTACCAGAAAATATCTGGCACCAGCAATCACACAACACCTCATAGCACATTCTTTAATATAGCTTTACATACTTAACATGTAAAGAAGAAATTTCCTTCAGCATGTATCACGACTATTTTGCCATCATCAGTGGTGAATTTGGAAATTTTATTTAGCTTTTTTAATAGACTAGACCAAAAGGAAATATTACAATTTATTATTACTATTTAATAAAGGATTATTTACATAAAAATATTATTAGTTTAATGCGGCGATTATTCTGGTAGGAGCTCCTGTGCCATTGTTGAGCATCATGGGCATTACAATTACGTCGAAAGTCGGTGGTAAGCTCGGATGGTTGAGGTTCACATTTTCCAGGATATAAATGTCGTTTTTCATCAACGAGACGTGCACATCCGTGTTACTCCCTTGGTCAGCCGAAGCGGTGTCGACGCCAACTCCGACCACCTGAATAATTGAAGAATTGATATTCTTATTAAGAGAAATTAATTAGAAGAGCAATAACTACTTTTCCACTGTCAACGATCCATTGGGCGGCTTCTAACGATAATCCGGGGAACCTGAGATCGTCGTCGCTGGGGCCGAGGTACTCCTTTCGATTTGGGTACTTGTGCGACCATCCGAATCCAACAATCACGACGGAATTCGATGGCATTGGCCCATTTGCTTTTTCCCATTCGGTCAATTTAGAGGCCGGCAGTTTGTACTTGTAATTGCCCGATGTTTCGGCGGAAGCATTGACGAATACAGCTAGAAAGGTATATTTATCGATTTGATTTTTAATAACAGTAACAAGAAAGTGGACGAACGTAAGAAATCCATAAGGGTAGACAAAATACCTTTAGTTATAAGTTTGGTTAAAGGGATGTCAGCTACTTTTCGGCCGTTTTTATCAAAGTGATACGGCGCGTCAAAATGGGTACCGGCGTGTTCTGCTGTCTTGAAGTCGTTAGAAGAGTACCACACGCCGTTTGGATCAGGACCGGCAAACTGAGATGTGTACCTAACGAATAAATCAATGTTGTGTATCTTGGAAATATTTTTTATAATTTACAAATAAAAACCGTAATTACTATAATGGGTGGTGGTCTTACCTTAAGCCTTTTTTGAGGTTGAAATAAAAATTTTAATTATACCAAATCCTATAAAATAAGTATAAATAGTCTAGTAAACAATCCTAAAGCCATCTAACTCAGGCTTTTTCTTGATTTACTGACAAGTATACTCTACATGATCAATCCAATGTCATTTTCGGTCCTCTTATTTTCGAAGTCGCACACGTCGTTTGGACATTAATTTAACGAACGGACACATTTTTCTAAAAATCCCCAACCAAACAGGCACTCCTTCAAGTATTAGTAAGATTATTTTCAGCCCAGAGGAAGAGCAAACCTTTCTTAATCGTCACAAACTGTGAGGACTTTTTCGTTTATTCTTTAGCAACTCTTTGTGCTCTGTCAGATGCCCAACAATACCAAACTCAGCCATTTTTCCGTTTTCCTCCACACCTTCCTCTTTTGGGCTCTATCAGAATTTAAATCATCCTAAATCGTCAGGCATATACGTTCTTCCTCTCCATTAATTCTTAAACTATCATCTTAAATCTACAGTTCATCACTAACCATCTCAAACCTTCCGTTACTAACTTTAACCATTCGTAATTACAAATTACTCTGTAGATTTAACAACACAAATACAGTGATGGCCAGCCAAAAGAATTGTTTTGTGGATAAAGGATTAAAAAAGCCAAACGCTTCCCTACGAGTAGGTGCTGTTCCTCTCATTCCACATTACGAAGGACCCTTTACAATTTTAATCAGGTCGGATAAAAATTACACCTTGGAAGTACGAAGAAGATCGGCTACTGTGTCTGTGGATCGTATTAAGCTTCAACGGACTTCAAACGGACTCTGCTAACAGCAGAACCGAATCTGTTTATCAACGTTCGCCGACTATCGAAACACCAGCTCCAGCATCTCCTACTACCAACCTCATCGAAAGACCTGATAAGGCAGTAACTCCAGCAGCCAATACCACCCGTGCAGTTCAGTACGCACCTTGGTTAAATTGATTTCTTGAAAAGGGGGAGAGTATTGTAGCGTCAACGCTACCTGTCCATTAGACAGAGCAAATGTTTGGACCTCCTAAATATGTAATTTAAATATCCACTTTTTACTTCGAAATGTAAAACAGTGATGTGTTAATTAGTTAGGTTTATATATATTATGCAGGGTGGGCGACCAAGATCCGAGGGATTAAATGCCTGGGTAGACTGGTACCCCATCCCTAAAAGGTCCGGGACTTGGTCGGTTCACGTGTCCTGCATAAACCTCTTGGACTTGTTCACAAACCCCAAGATTTTGGACCATTTTATCTCGGGGAGTGATTTGGTGATGTTCTCTCCTTCAAAGATTTCAAATCTAGACCTAGCATACCTATCACACTCTGCGAGGTAGTGCCTTGCCGTTTCTTCTTTTATTTCGCAGAAGCGGCAAAAGGGGTCTGGTAGAATACCCATTACGAAGAGGTGTCTTCTCAGCGGGCAGTGGCCCGTCCGAATACCTATCAGCCTCCTAATTCCCTTCCTTGAGATAGAGAATAGCCATTTCGATTCTGCTGGTTTGATCGCCTTAACAAACTCTTTCGATTGCCTGTGTCCGGGGGATAGATTCCACTCCCTAAGGAATTGTTTCATGTCCCAGTTATTGATACTCTCTTTCGCTGTGCTCATAGAGTGAGGTAATACCGGTTGTGGCCCGACAAACGCAGTATTAGAACCTTCTTTGGCTAGGCCATCCGCCTTTTCATTGCCATGGTGTCCTTTATGAGCTGGTATCCACATAAGGGTCACCTTATTCTCAAACCTGAGAAAAGATCCTATTGATAAGATCTATAGTTTCCTCCACCAGTCGTGATGTTGACAAATCTTTTTGTAATGCCCTAAGACTAGCCTGACTGTTAGAAAAGATTTTAATATCTTTTCCCTTAACTTTATTTTCCATTAGTTGTAGTGTAAGTTGAATGCAACTTATTTATATAGTTGAAACTACAACTCTCCAACCAATTGTGCATCTTCTTTTTTTCTAATAGCTGCATATTTGGATATACATTTAATTATCCCCATCACCAAGGGCCCATTTTCCTGTGAGGGTAGTTGTCCGAGTAAAAGCTGAAATCGCAAAGAAAGGTCAGCTCGTTGACTTGTATCAACGTACGACCGCTTTCCACTCCGGCCACTTTTGCAATTCATGTCGAGAAACGTGGTTGTAGAACGCCTTCAACCTGATGATGAGCTAAAGGCTCGAAATCCTGATCATTGCAAAACAAACTTACTGTGAGTAGGAAATATCTTTTTAAAAAGGATGGAGTAAAGTATTTCAGCTCTTTCTCTAAAGAAATAACTAACTGATTGCAACAGACTACTCATCTTTTCTAGTGCAACGCGATAGGTGTAAACGTCTTGTAAAGATCTTAACAGTATGAACTTCATTATGAAACATGGAGAATCTTTCCTACCAAGAAAAAGAAAACATTGTCAACACGTACCTAAACTTTGCTCCTCCCGGAAACTCGATGGTGTTCTCGTCTACCACATGTCCGAGGTCGACGTAATTTTTTGAACTGCATCCTTTGAACGGCTGGGCCTGCGTCAACGCGAATAAGTTTAAAATAGTCAACATCATCTGAAAATAAAACAAATACATAAAGCAGATAAGATTGATTATAGAATATGCGGAACTAACAGTGGATCACATGAAAATTTTATCATACTTCATTTAACGCGGGTAATTTCTCGCTAGCGTATACAGAATTATGATAATTTTATTTTAATTATAAACGAGACTAATTAAAAAATTCCCTTTCAGGTGGTAAAGAATAACGCTATTTTTGTCTTACAGTTAGATTTATATAATATTTGTATAAGCTTAAATCTGCACACGGATGTTCATAGTTGAACACTTCTTGCAGTCCACCGCCAATTCCAGGTTTTGTAATGTACAACAAATTACCGGCAGGACTCGAGAATCGCCCACCCCGGGTGTCGGCAGTCCATCTATTCACACTAATAAATACATTCACTCTCGACATACGCTAGAGAAATTATCATTACTATACAGAATGAAAGAATCCTGAGGACCCAGATAATCTCTGCCGTGCTCGAGCACATTGTCATATCGGGTGGCATTCCAACGCGCTCTCTATATGGAGCCAAGGAAATGTCGCTTCGATTCTTCACTGCTAGAACAAAATACAACTGCAAATATTAAAGAATTATTGTTTGTTCGTAGAATAAAGAAACCACTCATCAATCACTCATCACCAAACATTCAAAAAATTAGAAGAATGTACTAAACTCATAAAGCAAAAACTTACCGAGAATTCTATTAACGAATTTGTAAAAAAATGATATAATAGACCTCTTAAATATATGCCTACTATCTAATTATTGTAAATTCAATAATAAATTTTACGAAATGAAAGGGTTACCAATGGGGTCTCCATTATCCCCACTTTGTGCTGAAATATTCATGGATAATGTCGAAAAAAATCTTTTCAAATCAAAGAACAAATTAATTAAATATGTTCATTTCTGGAAACGCTATGTAGACGATATTTTATGCATATGGTCGGGAACATTAGAGGCTCTCAAAGAATTCCTACAACTAATTAATTCTCTACACCGTAATATAAATTTTACATTGGAAATTGGCACTTTTTAGACCTAAAACTGTCCATAATAAACAACCTAGTGAAATAGATGTATATAGAAAACCCACAACTACAGACACTATGATACCAGCGGATTCTTCCCACCCATGGTCCCAAAAGGCTGCTGGTTTCATTTGGCTCATAGACCGGATGTTAAAACTTCCGCTAACACCTGATAATTATAAAAAAGAATTATAAAACTATTAAAACCTTAGCAAAAAACAACGGGTATCAAGAAATATTTATTGATAGGTTGCTAGTTAAAAAAATAAAAAAATTAACTTTAAACGAATCAACAATAGGGCTCAGCCACCCCACCACAAATGAATCATAAGGTTTCCGTTGTTTGCCATACATTGGTGAATTATCGGAAAAAGTTAGTAAAATTTTTAAACAAGAAGGTTTTAGAATAGCTTTTAGAAGTATGGGTTCACTTAAAAACATCCTCTCAAAACCTAGACAAAGTAGACAACTTGGCAAAAAGCGGGGTTTACCAACTCAAATGTAATGATTGTGATATTAAATATATAGGACAATATATAAAAACAAGAGTAAAAGAACACTTGCCTAAATCGAGCAAATTTTCGGAATTTAAGGACCATCTAAAAGAAACAAAACATAATTTCAATTCAAATCTAAATACAAGAGTGTTACATAGTTTCAACAATGGGAAAGAATTAGATTGGTTTGAGAAATTTGAAATTAAAAAAATGTAAAATTGAACATGGTGATAAATGCATTAATAATATAACAGATTTTGATCTACCTCCCATTTTAAATATGTGCATAAATAATATCAAACATCCAAATAATTAAACTAATTATTTTAATTGTTATTATTTTTATAGTAATTTAATAATATTAAGTATTTACTAGTATAATATTTATTTGTGTTATAATTTCCGCGTTTCGCACGTACAAATTGAGTGCCATTAAAAAAATCAGCTGCTAATTGGAACATCGCGTTGGCGGAGGTATCAGCGGGTTCACTTTGGCAATTCATGTCGAGAGACGTGGTTGTAGAAGTCCTTCAACCTGATGATGAGCTAAAAGGCTCGAAATCCGGATCGTTGCGAAACAACTTAATGTGAGTAGGAACTATCTTTTTAAAAAGGATTGAACACCACACTCACTCCATCATTTATCATTTCTATTCAAAAAATTAAACAACGATATAGAGGTTAATTATGAACAAGTGTGGTGATCAGTGACCGTTAGTCTATGATTATTCGAAAATCGTGAGATGCGATCTGGTGTTTCAGAAATACATTTTCTTTACCGTGCCAACGTTTCGATCTTTATTGAGATCATCTTCAGAGTCAAAGTGTTTGTTTTCTGTGTAATTGTGCCATTCTTGCGTGTCGTGTTGAGAGTGCGCTGAAGATGATCTCAATAAAGATCGAAACGTTGGCACGATAAAGAAAATGTTTTTCTGAAACCTTCGTTACACTAGACCGCATCTCACGCTTTCCGAATAATTATTATGAACAAGATTTAAGTCAATTTTACCGATTTAATGTTCTCTGTAAGATATGTCTGAATCAGAACGAATGAACAAACAAAGTGATAATAAGATAAAAATTAATTTGTAGAATAGATGAAGTTTTTATGTGATGTTATAAGAATAAAATTGAGGTTGATGATGTGTGTTGGTAGGTATTCATGCTTCAATGATATACAAACCCTACACGGCCAAAGTGACAGAGTGCCTCACTGAAGATGGCACAATGCCGAAACGCGTTTGAGTTATCAACAAGCAAGTAATGACAGATCCAATAAGTGACCCTATGAGGTTCAGCATGACAATAAGATTGGTCTAAAGACAAGTTTAATTGCAATTGGTATGAACTGTGAAACAGCTGAAATCATTAGTTTCAAGAGACACATTATTTACTCCAAGAAAACTGTTAGTGTTTAACTATGGACAAGGACATTGATTTGTTTAAGAATATTATCGGTTATATTTAAGATATGTCTGCCAATAAAGGGATAAATTGACTAATTTCATTATTATAAATGCATAAGCTTGACAAAAAGTCGTTGATTCTTGACAAAAAGATAATCTTAGAAACATTGAATAAACAATAAATAAATACTGATTTAGATCAAGACAGTGCATATAACGCGAATTCTCACGGTGTGCACGAATAAACAACTTGTACGAAAATTCGTCAGGATTTTAATTTTGTTAAAAATACGTTTTCAAAACATGTACTTACAGCTCCTTTTTAAGTTACGGTCTGCCGGTGACTGGCGAGGAAGTCGGTTTTGCAAGTGGGAAAGAGGATCCTTGACACGTTTATATCCCGTTGCCCAAAAGAATACTACGTCCTTGTTGTTAGGTGGCCTTGATGATAGATAAAATTGAAAAAAACTATTATCGGAGATAAAGGTTGTAAAATATCTCCGAAGTGACACGAACACGGAGAACAGTACGTATTTGAAACCATGTTGTTAAATGGTGAGAGTTTAAACTTAATGATCATTTAGAAAGGCAATAGAACACCTAGGAATGAAAATAGGTTGGAAAGCATCGTTTAAAAGTGACGAATTATCCAATTTCTAGCTGCTTTGTTCTGTCAGATGCGTTTCGCCATTTTCAGCGGCGTATGTTCTTTGTTCAGAACAACTTTTCGTTTATTGGTTGTAACAGTTTTTTAATGCTTTAAATGGAGTAAATTACCTGTGCGAGTCGTTAATATTACATATTGTGATCCTAAATTTCCTCGTGAGGAATGCGAATTTATGTAAATAGTAGAAAAAATAAAGGACTGTTACAAAAAAATATATGTAAGTTATTTTACGTACCACGGTTGAAAATCAATCTACTAAGGTCATCTCACACAAAACTCGTAATGAACCCTCAACGATCTGTCAATTTAAAATTTCACCATTGTGGGCAAAACGTACTGATAGAATAGAAAACGAAGAAAATTATAATCACACTGAACACAAAGAAACTTAGAATCATTTACACGCAAAGATATTCATATTTTGTTTATTTGAAACTGTATTTATTTTTACCGTTACATTAATCACAACGAACTTAATTTAATGTAAACCAAATTAAACGAGATCAGAAATTCATCAGGTTTAGTAAAAATTATTTAATTATGATGGTTTGAAAGAAAATTGGCCAAAATGTGTGGTGATTACCAACCGAACCATTACCAACGTTTTTTTCCCATGGTCGGCTCTTTTCACCTCAAAGAAGGACGACTCCTTATACAAAAATGTCTTTCTCTACCGACTCCTTCCCCACCCCCTTTAAAATCCAAAGTGTATAAACATAAAACAGCAATATCTCACTAGCTCAACACGACACGCAAGAACGGCACAATTACACAGAAGACAAACACTTTGAGTGAGTAGAAATACTTTGATTGAATGCAAAAAATGTTTTTTTTTTTTTTGCATTGTATAAATCACGTTTTTCCACATCCTACATGTATTTGTTAAATTTAAACAATATTTGTAAATCCCAGGCCCTGAAGATGATCTCAATAAAAATCGAAACGTTGGGACGATAAAGAAAATGTTTTTCTGAAACCTACGTCACACCACACCGCATCTCACGATTTCCGAATAATCAATTCACCAAAATACTGGAAATTTAGTGCTAGATTAAAATTTAAGTAACAATTTATTACCTAGTTTTGCTCTTAATAACCGTATACCTACTGGTATGAAGTGGCGGACAGCCTGGCCAAAGTAGGATCAAATACTGCGTTTGTCGGGCCACAACCGGTATTACCCCACTCTATAAGCACAGCGAAAGAGAGTATTAGTTGCTGGGGCATGAAACAATTCCTTAAAGAATGGAATATGTCCCCCGGACACAGGCAATCGAGTTTCTGAAGGAAATCAAACCAAAAGAAACGAAATGGTTCTCTAACTCTAGGAGGGGAATTAGGAGGCTGATAGGTATCCTAACGGGCCATTGCCCGTTGAGAAGACACCTCTTCATAATGGGTACTCTACCAGACCCCTTTTGACGCTTCTNTATATATACCTACTGGTACACAATATACACTACAGGTATTTTGGTCGTTTTCGATCACCATTTTCATTCATCTATTGTTGATGGTTTGGTCTGCCATTTCGGCATATGTCGTCTTCAGTGGGTGGTATTTATGTTATTTTGTCCATGCAACAAGTGAGTCAATATGAATAGGTCATGTAGGCATGTTCCAGAAACATTTTGAAGACGACACAAAATATGAAGGTTGATCTTTCATAATTCAAAGAATCGTGTTGGGAACTGTAAGGTCATTATCAGTATTGATTCTCCTAGTTTACTTATTCTCAGACTTGCTTTGGTATTTATCCATCTTCAATGGTTGGTCTGCGTGCTATATTGTCAACGAGTGCTTTTATAAGTTACTCGGCATTAATTTTTTTTTGGCATTGAGTTTTTGTCTTCAGTCATGTTTAATGTTTATGTTTCGGGATGGTTTTGCTATTTCTCGCACTGGTCTATCGCACAGAACAAAGTATTCCTTTCTTCGTCATTTCTAACAACTACATGTTCCGCATTTTCTATTTGGATCATTGTCTTTATTTCCTATGTGTAAGTATGCATTACATACTTGGTTGCTGTGGTTTGACCGTAGTCTGCCTATCGTAATAATGCCTTTCATACGTTTCTTTGATGAACCAAGGGACACATCCGACTTTCGGAAAGATGGAT